GTAGGGTTCAATGGGATTAAGGAAGGTACAGTGGTCATACTGTATAATAAACTGCAAGTACAGGTTAAGGATGTTGGCTGAATGCGGATGGGCATTACCATCCACCAGGAGGAAATCGGGAAGACTCATAACGAGGTATAGGACTTCATTTCAATACCGCTGTATCTGACCCTGAATGTGATATCCCACTAAAATTTCAGTCCATAGCATCATGCTACCACTTCTGAATGCATGGTGCTCGATAATGTTCTGGGCTTGATTCCATGTACTTTGTTTTCACCAGGCTCTTACATACTTATACGAGGAATATAAAAGCGAGGAAACCTGGACAAACCTGGACTTTTCTGTGAACAAAGTGTTGCACTATTTTGAGACAGTCCAGTTGAGGTGTTGATAACATCAGTTTAATTTAGCCCCTCTGGATTTTGCAATTAGTAAAATTCAAATACTTGGGACTTCATGTAAAGCCTGTGGTGCATAGTAATCACAGTATTGGCACAGTACCAAGTGATGCTACAATCATGGAAGTAACAATAGTGTAACAACTATGAATGTAATAGTAGGTTGCTTGTCGATTCTACTTGGCTACTATGGCAATATACCAATCTTCAGAGGTCAGCCAAGGTAAGTAACTCTTAGTTGGGCACAGGTCTCTAGATAGATGTTTGACTTATTTTGAATTATTTTTCATATACGAGAAATTACCAAATGAGCATTGCCAAAGGAGGGAGTGACACTGTAGGGAATTTTATGTTAATTAAACAGTCAATTTATAATTTCAGCCTTTACTGTAACTTCTTTTTATATTCCTCGCTAGAATACAAATGAGGAGGCAGGTATTTAAAACGAGGGTTTTGAACTGTAAGAGAGTGTCTTCACATTCAAAATTCTGTTTAAGAGTGTTGTTTTTAACCTTCTTATGACTTTGTTTCAAACATAGCGCTAATTTATTTCTTGTCTATTAGGGTTATTTCACTTAATGTTATTGGACCTAACATTACCAGAACAAGCCTAACCCTACAACATCTTGGATTGATTTTCCTGCTTTAATGCATCCGATAGCATACCAATGCTCATAATCTGCCATTGGTCTTCTTTCAAATCTCCATTGAAGCACAAATATCTCTGAAAGTTATCGTTTGAAAGCTATAAACACTTCATATCGATATTTAAATGAACCTCCTCAAACTTTCAGAATGCTAGTATGAATTTTGGGAAAATTAGTTAATCCTATTGATTTCAGTAAAGTATATAATAAATTACTTCTGCATTTTGTTCATTAAGTGTTTTATGTGTTTTAAATGAAAGCTTACTTTATTGAAACTTTTATTCATATTCTGCTGTTTAGTCTGAATTAATGCTATCAATCAATTATTCAACTGAAGAATCATTTTTCAATAACAACTAATCCTTCTTTTACTTCCAATAATTCTCTTATTATTCTTCACCTTATAATAAAATATATTATTTCTCGTTATTGGAATTAGAGAAAAATGTATTTAAACTTATAACAGATTGCAACTAATTTTAAATGCTAATCAGTCGTTAAACTTTGCTGTTTCGGAGACTGATAAAAGGAAATTAACAGCAAATACAAAATGTATCTATAATGAAAAATTGCGTCATGAAACATTTACAATTCAGTATATTGAGAAAATTCGGTTTGAACTTTTACATCATTTGTACATAAGTTGCTTAAAGTTACTTTACAATTTTGCCAAAATTTCCTCAACATCCAGTCTCTTGGACTAAAACAGAATTTCTGTTTCTAGATTAACTTAAAACAGTGGAATAAATCATACTTAAATTCACAGCTTCTTGCTACTTAACAACAACTGCAATGACTTCAGATAATCATGGTGCAACATATATGACTAGAAATCAAAAGTAAGGAATTTAAATTTAAACTAAATCTAAGTAGAAATAATGCAAAGGCTATGCAGAGATATTTAAAATGCAAGTTAGAAAAAAATAATATGGCATGATGACATCATAACCTTGAAACTATGTTTTGAAGCAATACGCAATGAAAAACTGATATGTTTCACATTCTGCATATTTTTTAAAACCTTAGAAAATCACAATTTTTTAAACCTATAAAAGTTAATATTTTTACATTGATATCTTTTAATATTTTTTATTTGTTTCAAAAGTGGGTGAAAGTAATAAATTTTATAATCTGTGATAATTTCAGAAATTTGTAACTGATACAATTTTAAATGTTGGTTGAAATTTTAAAATAATGAATATTTAAGGGCCCCCCATACCTGCCCCACCCCACCCCCAGGAAAAGAGAAGTCATGCTAAAATTTTGTGCAAATTTCATTAAAAATACTTTTTTTTCTGCCCTTTCCAGTAGAGCAAACAGTTAAATTCTGAGATTTAGTTTGTTCATTAAATGAAGATATTTGTAAAAAATCATTTCAACATTAAATTTTAAAAAATCTAAGTTGAATTTTTAAAACTTTGCTTCACCACATTATACTGTCATCCACAAACAGTGTGCACTCAAAATTTCAACTCAGTAGCTTGATGGAAAGGAGTCTAAATATCAGTTACAAACATTTAACCGGTAGTGACAAACACAAATAAAATCTTATAAAAATGGAAGAGTTTTAAATGTTTTTGTTTATAAAACTCTTCAATACAATATGAATATTTTATGTAAATTAATTTTTTAATACACTAATATAAATCCATATTAAGAATTAGTTAAAAGTTCATTTTTTAAATTAAAGAGATTGGAATTTGTTGGCAAAAATCCATTATTTGAATATTTGTATTATTTAATTTCCTATACAAATAATTTGCTAAAATCAAGATTTTCTTAAGTAATTAGAATTTTTAAGTCATTTGCTTAGTTTTTTTTAGTTCAAGACATGGTGGAGGGGAAATGCAGTTTTATTTTGATTCAGAAACCTTGCATAATCTCAATATGTTATTAAGCATATATAAGTATACATATATATATATTTCAGATGCGTGTTGAATTCAGCAATGATATGTATGGAAACTGCCATTTCACTCCTGTAGATTTAACTCGATGGGCTTTGTCACTGTTTCGTTATGATCTTGTTCATGAAGCTTTTTCCACAGAGAGATCTCCAGATGGTTTGTTAAGAGCGTGGACTTATGAAGCTTGTCGCATATTTTCTGATAGGCTTATGAATTACGAATCAAAAGAAAAATTCAACCACATTATTTCTAGCATTCTGCGAAAAGAATGGGGAGCACCTGACATCAGTTCATTAAATGGTAAGATGTTTGCATTTATTAAGTAATTGCAAAAAAGATCAAGAAATAAGAATGAGGGGAAAATACTGTTGTACAAAACATCATTTAGGAAAGAGAACAGAGAAAAATACATCATGGTACAAAATATTATGTTTGAAAATGCAAGGGCAGTAAAACATTGCAATAAGGAAACATCATTAGACAAAATGCCATGTTGGAAAACAAAGCAGCTGTAAAACAGAAATTGAATGCTATACATCTAAAAACGGAATTCTGCAAAAAAAAACTCTTATAAGTGTAATCTTGTCTTTTGTTAATGGGTTTATTAAAAAAACATCCCACCGTCCCACTCTGTATTTTAAACACTACTTAAATGTGCAGTTCACAATTATTCATAAATCCTTTTGAATGCCCTTGATGTTTAAATAATTTTAATAAAGACTTACGAATAATCATATAATAATTGGTTCTGTTCTGTTATCGGGACTAGATTCAGAAATGTATGTATGTATACATATATGTATGGTTACATATATTCATGCATGCATGTATATATGTATGAATGTGTGTGCATGTGTGGTTATGGCAAAGCCTCAAGGACTATATGCCTAAAGGGAGGGATGCCTTCGTGGAGGACTTTCTAAAGGAAACTGGCTAGTATACACGTTACACATGGGGAAAACCATGAAAACGCCCATGCAGCCACCCCAATCGCGGGATTCGAACCTCGGACCGAACTACCTGTGTTCAGCGACATTTCCGCTCGGCCACTGGTGGGCTACATGTATGAATGTATGTATGTTTGTGTATATTCACACACACATGCATGAAGGCATCCATACATACATAGATGCATACATACATGCATATATTTCTGAATCTGGTCCAGATAACAGAAAAGTACCAAGGAATCTAATGTTTTATTAACCATCCAAAAATTATTGAAAAACTCCATACTAAAACTTTTGATATGCTGTATAAAAATAATCATAGAAAGCAAAAGATACTAATGAATAATTTTAAGCTACACATTCAAAATACCTAATTCAAAATACCTAATTCAAAGCTAAGGAACAATAAAAAAAAGGGAGGAACTATATTAACTTTCTCCATCCAATTAAAGAACTCAAGACAAAAACATTATTATATCTGTAAAATTTATTGTTGTACCTTGTAGAATCATGTTTTATAAAGTTCTGTGTTTTTAAATAAATAAATGCTTGTTTCTGTAATCGACTGTACCAAACCTGTATATGTGTGTATAGTATATACAGTCAAAAGTCGTTAATTCGGACACCCATTATCCGGAATGATCTATAATCCGGACTTCAAAGCTACAAACTTTCAAACTTATGCGTCGCGTTGACGCATGCGCATAAGACCTTTATGGCTACGAATACGCGTGTGCACGTGCGCAAAATACGTTTATGAATGCGCGTTTAATGTATAACGGACGGTATAAGCTAAGCTAAAATTATTTAATTATCTATTTCAGTTAATGTTGCAGATTGCGTTGTTCCTTAATCTTCGAATTGGATCCGGCTTATTATTTTTTGCAGACTGTTAGAGCAATTTTATAAAAGTAAGCTTGAACTTCCAATTATGTCAAATACAATTTCTGATATATATTTACTAATATGTAAAGGATCTACAAAGCGAAAGTATGTTTCGAAGTCCATTAAACAAAAAGTGGAATTGCTGCAAAAAATGGATAAAGGCATATCCTTTGTTTATCTAAACTTTAACGTTTGTTTATGTAAACTTTGTTTATCTTTAACGCCACAGCGCCGCGCAATGAATTGGAAGTTGATCTGTCAGCACTATCCTTATCTTCAGGGCAGATGTTTTTATTTTATTTGGCTTATAATTCCTTACTAAATGTAGTATTTCATTTCGATGTACTCCGTCTTTGATATGATTTAAATCAAATTCCTCGTCATTATAATTCGCTTCTGATAGTCAAGAAAATGACAGAGGTTATTGAAAACGAAAAAATTTCGATTGACAAATTAGTCTGTATTCTCGACACAGCAATTATAGGACTTGAACAGCGGAACTTTCTTACTGAACAAGAAATTATGTCTGTTTATAGAATTAAAGAGAATGTATTATCACATAAAAAACGAAGCAACTTAAAAAACTTACATTGAAAGAAATGTTTAATAAAGTAAACAAATAAATATTAAGCTTTTTTTTTTTTTTGTAAATTTTGATACCCTTTAGATCATAATTGTTCTTTATTTCATAAATTACGGTTTCATATTTTTGATTTTATAATTTCTGCATGCCATCTTACCAGATTTAAACTGATGATCTATAATTCGGAAAAATCGATAATCCGGAATCGCCAAAGTCCCAACAAGTCCGGATTAACGACTTTTGACTGTATGTATATATATATATATATATCCCTTACCTGCCTTAAAAGTCCTTACCTAGCCTTTATTTTTGCAATCGTTGGACGTAGTCATGTACTTCCATTTTCTGAAATGCTTTAAATGACAAAAATATTGATTTTTGGCAATGTCAGAGTTTTAAAAAAAAAATTAAATTTTGACATCTAACTACGTATGTAATAATAGTTTATATATGTATTTAGTCCACTAATAAATATTTAACAACATTTAATATCACTTTATTGTTCTAAATATCTAACAATATTTAATATTAGTTCCAAAGAGAATATTTAATAGGCTACAAGGTGGTGTCCACATCAGACTTTTTTTTAAAAATAATTGTTGTTCTGAATGTCTTTGTTATAAAAGCAATCCCTTTTTTTTAATTGCAATATTGTATTATTGTGACTATTCTTCTTTCCCTGGAAGCTGTAACTTATTGTTAGATCTCAAATACTTTTTCTAATTGTTTTAGTTTCTATTCTGTAAAAATTTATGAGACTTGTAAGTGGCTGTAAATTGTTAGTTTAAATCAGTTTCTTAATGTGTAATGCAAATACGAGTTGTGATCTCTTATGAAATTATCCACATAGATAACTTGAGACAAATATTTCTTGTATTCTTTGCTCACTCGTTACCTGTTTAATTTATAAATTTTGAGAATTTTAACTGGAATATTTTGTCAGAAAACAGTTATTTTATTTATTTATTTACTTAATTTTAAATTCCTTCTTAGAAAATTCTTCATTATCAAATGGAGACGTCTTACAGAAGTTCAATAGGTTAGCAGTAGTTTAGAGTATTATTTTAAAAACTTATCAAAGCACCTACTGTATAATTCAGCCTAAATCTAGAGAATTAAGTTTTAGATTAATTAATTATTTTAACTTAATTAACTGACTATAACCAAAAATATAATGTTGCATCATTATCTTATCTACAATCATCAAAAATCTTAAGCTATTATCACTTTAATATTTTTTAATTCTTCAAACTTTTAATGTTAATAACTTTTAATGTTATTTTTTTTTATTCTTCAAACTTTTAATGTTAACACGAGGCCACTTGACTGCTACTCAGGGAATTTATGTTTTCTTTAGAATTTTTCTTAATTTTTTTTTTTTTTTTTTTTTTTTTTTTTTTTCTGGATTGATATGTTAATCCTTTTTATGATCTGATCATTCTGAAAAGGCATCCTTATGAAGTGTAAATTAACTGTTTAAAAATGATAACAAATGTCTCTTAAAGCACCTTACAAATTATCTAATCATCTTTGTTGCACAGAGAATAAAAACTGGATTTTGCAAGTAAAAATGCAGTATTAGCAATAAAATTATTTTTCACATAATTTTTAATTTATCAAAAGAGAAATTTCTTAATGGATTTGTAAATGCAATGTGCTTTGTTAGTTATGAAAAATGCATTTTAATTTTCTAGACATTTATTATGTGGCTGGAAGTAGCATACCATCTGATATGAACCGGACGTTTGGAAAATGTTTAGAAAAGTTTTCTGCAGAAGACTGGATGTCACTTGTCCAGAAGAATATCAAGGCTTTCAGTAATGCCTTATATTTCTTAAACTTATTTATGATCTTTTTCAAATGAACATTATTTTGCATATCAAGTTACATGTCCTTTAATATTTCAGGTCATGAAGTTCGAGAACTTGATATTGTAGTTTTCCAAGAAGTATTAGATAACATGGCCAAGGTAGATAGAATTCTTTCTCAGCCAAATGGCTCATTATTATTAGTTGGAAAAAATGGATCTGGTCGACGGCTAGCTGTGTCTGTTGTTGCTCATTCACATCAAATGCCAATCCTTTCTCCTAAACCTCATCTCAATTATGGAGTGAAACAATTTTGTAATGATTTAAAACAAGTATGTTTTGCCTGCTTTTTTTTTTTTTAATTAAATTGACATAGTATAAAATTGAAAATTTTGTGAAATATAGTTTTTGAACTGTATTCGAATTAAGCCTTTCTCCGTTTATTATCTTTTCATCCTAAACAAATGTAATGGCTTTATGTACACTATGTATTTTGAAAATGTCATGGCAAGGAAAACATTATTTTTTGAGCTCCTCATTCTTTTTATTTTCTTGTTTATTTATTTCAAGAAAAGGCTATGTCTTGTATGCTATAAACTTACTTTGACCTATTTTAGTTTTTTTCTTCCTGAGAACTATGATTTTGTCTGGCTTATGTTGGTTAAATAAATGGCTTTTGTTTGTTGTTAGTTTGGTCAAATGTGTTGTACATAATCTAAAATTTAAACACATGCTGGAAAATATTATTCTATTTTTAATAAATTTATTGTTGGGCAACAAGTTGTTTAATATTAAGATAATGAGAAATCTTGTTGCTTAACTTTTCATTAATATTTAATTGTTTCATTTTCTTTAAATGGGAAACCTTTAAGAGAATTCAATATTCTAAATCTTATGTAAATTCTTTCTTGAAAAATCATACCATCTGTAAGTAGCTTTTCAATATGAACATCTCGCCAGCAATTTTTCATCTAATGTAGGACAGAAATTTTCAGCTGATTTTATAATGATTTTTCACTTAATATGTAAAAAGGAAGGAAAAGTAATATGTAAACTGTTTGTACGTTTTTATATTTGCTTATGTTTTGTACAAACTTCTATGCTTAGGAAGTAAAATGCAACTTTATAAAGTGTTATATTTTATTACATCCTTAATAAAAATCAGAAATGAGTTATTTATAACTATATAGATAGTAATACTTAATGCTATACAAGGAATTTAATTTGATATAAATGAAGTAATTAATTTTTAAATGCTAAATTTTTTTGCTGATAGCTAATCTATCTTCAATTTTAAAAAAATCTGATGGAGCACCACCGGAATTTCTTCTACAGGCTATTAAATATCCTTTTTAGAGCAGCAATAATTTTATGTTAAATATTGGTAGATAATTACAACAAACTAATATTAAATATTGTTAGATATTTGCAACAATAAATTTATAGTGTGAGGGTATAATTTTCGATAGGGTCATAGAAGAGTCCTTTAGTATTAATAGTATTAATAGGTTTAAGTTACACACGGACATTACATTTAACTTTAAGAAAAATTACAGAGCAAGAGTCTGGTACAACCTATCAAGTGGGACATTTGGCTTTTACTGAAGTACTTCTCTGGCTACTCACCAGAGGGCAGCCTTGTTGTCACAGTTAGTCCAACAGTTTATGTTAAAAGATTGATTACAATAGTAAATATTGTTAGATAATTATTGTAAGACTAACTCAGGGCTTAATTTCTAAAATTAGAAGTGCGGGAGCCCTAGGGTAGACCATCAGGAAAGGGGAACAATAAACAAATAAATAAAATGACTAATAAAATCATTCATAACTAAAAAATAAATGATTAATTATTAAAATAATAATTAAAATAATAAATTTGATTATAAAAATAATAATTAATGATTCAAATAATTAAAATTTAATAAAATCTAAAGAAATAAATTCAAATTAAATAAGTGATTTTTAATAAAATTTTATTGCTAAAAAGAAAATTTTCGAGATCAGATTTCAACTGAAATTTTTCACTTTCATAAAAGAAGTGCTGGAGCCTTCTTATTTAAAGCTAGGTGTGACCTGGTTAGAATTTTAATTTATCCCAAAAACTAAGATGTACCAGAGCCGGGCTTCGATGGGTTCTGCTGCAATTTAAGCTCTGGACTAACTACATATATAAACTGTTATTATATGCGTACTTAGATTTCGTTATTTGTCGAAAATGAACTTTTTATTAATTTGACTTTGCCAAAATATGAATATTTTCGTCATTTAAAATACTTTTGCAATTGGAAGTATATGACTAACAATTAGCCAAAAATTGCGAAAAAAGTAAAGGCCAGGTAATTACTTAGAAACCGAGTAGGTGGGTGTATTTATGTATAGATAAGTTTGCTATTTTTGAGTGCAGTAAAAAGAGGTGCACAATTAGATGTTATATCACTCCCATATATAAAATTTCAACGTTCTACAGTTAATCATTTTTAAGTTATGGGCGATACGTACATCACAAAAAAAAAAAAAAAAACCTTTTTGTATCCATTTTTAAATCCATTTTAGAATACAATATGGAAGAAAAAATGAATGATTAAGGCTGTTATTTAAATTTGATATAATGTATTGTGGAAATTTTTAAAACGACTTCATCATTTTAGCACTCAAGTTTCTCAGTCAGTGTGGGAATTTAGAGGAAAAATGAAAGTTCTGAATTAAAATTATTTTTTTCACTTTCTCTCCAGTACTTTTTTACCCTAAAGAATTACCTGTTTGCATTTTTTAGGTTATGCAAATAAGTGGCATAGAAGGCAGAGATGTTTTATTTCTTTTGGAAGACTACCAGATTCTTAATGATGAGTTCTTAGAATTAATAGACAGTGTCCTTTCTTCAGGAGATGTACCAGGACTTTATTCTTCCCAAGAATTAGAACCTCTTCTAAATCCTCTAAAAGATTTAGCTGCCCAAGAAGGATTTCGAGGCTCTACTGCAGCCTTTTTTGCTCAGCGTATGTGTTTTTATGCATTAATAAGTTAAAGCTGTTATTTAACATTCATAGTCTTTATTAATAACTGAAAAACTGTTGTGTTGCATTTCTAAAGTATTTTCCAAAATAATTATAATGAATTAGTTACAAATTAATCAGCATTAATCTTTCAGGTGTTAGAAAATATCTTCATATAGCTTTAATTATGGATTTTACTGATTCAAAATTCGTATTCCATTGCAAGAGTAATCCTGCTTTGTATAAGTCATGCAATGTGTTGTGGTTAGATGAGTGGAGTCAAGAAAGCATGCAAAAGGTAACTTAAGCTTCTCATCAAGAAATTCATAACCTGTAAATATTTTATTTCAAATACGTTTTGGTAAAGCTTTATTTTCAAGAAAATCTGAAGAACATTTTAGAAATGTTTAAAAATGAAATAAAAGTATCTTAAATTGATTGGTGAATTTTATAGAAGTTTTTAATCTGTAAAAGCTTCAAATTCAGCAAATTTTTGTAAATTTTGAGAAATATATTTATAGGTTTTGAGCATAAGTTTAAGAAATATTAATTTTCCTAGGTGTTTCTTTTCTACTTAAAATACAATGTATAATTTTTTTTTCATTTCCTCTATGCGATTTTTTTAATCACAACTTTAGATTTTGGTATATTTTATAATTTTGAGATGTCTTATGTCATTAGGTTCCAAAGCTTCTTCTGTCTAGTAAAGATGATAAAAAGTCTGACCTTGATGAAGAATTTTATGAAAGTTTTGCTAAAATCCATCAGAAAAGTAATAAGAAAAATCGGTCACCTAGGAAATTCATTGCATTTATTCAAAATTATAAGAAAATTTTCTCAAGGAAATGTGCAGAAATTGAAATGCGGAAGAAACATCTTCAGGTAAACGTACTTTAAAGACTAGAAACTATTTGCAACATTAATTTCTTTTACATGTGATATGCACTGTTGATAAATATCTTTTTAGAGTGATTTTTTTAATAAATATCTTCCCCTCCCCTTAAAAATTCATTGTGTATGTTCACAACACTAATTTGAAAGGGAAAAAAAAGTTACTAAAGAGGGCATTCATTTAATTATTTCACTTATGCATTCTAACAGTTGTTGTCATGTATTTAAAATAAAATGGAAATATGTAAAGGATTTCTTTCATCATGCACCATGTTTTAAAGCAAATTATGCAATTGATCAGACAACAAATGATTCTCATTTTCATAGCATCCTTAAAATACCTGCTGTTATGTTGATTCTATTTCACTCTATTCTGCACAATATTTTACAAGGGAATACATTTTTATCATTATGTTTACATTAATTAAATTAAATCAGTTTTCCTTTTGTTTTTATAAAGCTATTTATGGGTGATATGAAAATATGAATAATAAGTTCATTGGTGAAAATTAGGCTGTTTTTCAGCTTGAAGTTTTTAAAAAAATATATTAAGCAAAGTTTTCCCCACCCCCCTCTTTCTTCGTATGTGTGTATGTGTAGTGTTATTAGCTTTCAAGGTGCAGGTATAGTTGAAATTAAGGTGCAGAAAACTTTATGTAATCACAAATATTATATTATTTCAACAAAATATTATATCAGAGACTGGATCAAGTCATTAAAGAAGTTAAATATTAATTTTAAGAAATGGTGATGCTTCAGATCATGATTTAAAACAGAAATAAAGTAAAGATTTTCCCATGAATTGTAACAAGGTCATGGTTAATCCCCTTGAATATTCTGATATCAAATACCAGGTGGATTTATGACTTGGAAAAGAAAAACATTTCTGATCCAATATTACAATTAAACACATTATAAATGTTATATGAACAATACTTTGAACCTGAATGGACTAGATGACTGAATGCATACTGATGGCTCTAAAATACGAGAAAACACTGGGGCTGGTGTATACAGTAAACTTTTTTCCCAATGTACTCCTGTGGAACCCTTCATGTCGAATTTTAATGCAGTCCTTGCAATCTCATTGGCTCTGGAAAACCTCAAGATAAAGATCGATTGTTTCTGTAAAGCAGTAATTCTGGTCATTGCTGAAGCAGCCACCTAGGCTGTAGTTATAAATCATGACACAGGTACCCAGACTATGTCAGAAATAAGACAAACCTTGAACTTTCCTTATAAACACAGCAAAACAATTGTTTTTCAATGGATTCCTTCACATGTAGGTATCAACAGAAATGAAAAGGCAGAATCACTAGCCAAGAGAAGAACACTTGTGCCACAAGACAGCAAACCACTTCCTCCAGAGTCACTTAAAAAGCATATTTTTGAGAAATTAATGGATACTCTTAAATCTGACCAGGCAGCAAAATCAACAGCAAATCCTGGGCTAACATTCAAGACACATGGGAAAAGTTAAAATTGGCATTCTTCCATCTAGTATATGCCAAATTTGCAATTCGGGCATCATGAATACAGAACATTTTCTTATATGCCCAGAACTAGATAAAGAATCTTAGAAACTAGGTAAGATAAGTAAACTATATTGAAATGCCAGAGCTTTCATAAACTCCTTGTAAACATCTCTTATGTTCTTTTCCTTGTTGTTTAAATTTTTAGCTTTTTACTTTTATTCCCATGTTCATTTCTTCTAATTCTTACTTTATACATGTTTGTTCTTTTTATTATTTATCATTATTCTTCTGTGATACTTGAGCTATTTTATATGTTTGGACTGATCTCTCCAATAAAGCCATATGTAACAAATAAAGGTTTTCTTATAAGCTAATAAGCAGTCATCAGACATTGTAGTTCAAAATATTCAATATTAACTATGGCCTTTATAGTTTTCATGAAAACAATTTAAAAAATTATTTATGCCATTCACCCTATTACATGAATGTAAGCCTAACATATTTATAAATTTCTTCTCATGTTCAGGACCCATTATCATTGCCATCTGCTAGTCATGCTGAAAAAAAAATTTATAGTTAATGATTAATTAAATGTTTTAAATTGTTAATTCTAAAATTTAAACATTTTGTTAAACATTGATCCACAGACAGTTGCCAATGCACATTTCTTTGTGTTTGCTTGTTATTACTTACTTACTTATTTTATTTTGCTCAGGAATGCATAGCTCAGGAATTCAGGAAAAAGCTTCTTTAGCAAGATTTCTGTTGTGTATCATATAGCTTTTATAGAAAAATCATTCTATCATGGAACTCTTGCATTCACCCAAATATTATTTTTTTATTATACTGGCATTCATTTTATCTTAAAAACAGAAGGCCCAGAATAGTCTTTTTATTGTTATTGAATTTAAATAAAATTTGAATATTTCTTGATTTAGCAGTCTGAAATGTACAGACTCATTATTTCATAAAAGCACAATATAATCACTGACTAAGTTAACTTCTTTCTACATTTAGCATTTTATTCAATGTTAACTTACTGTACATATGTGTCAAAACTATTATTGACTTAAATACATTTATATATATACAAGAAAGAGAAGTATGCCTGTACAAAGTTAAACATTGTTTGATCTTTGATAGATGTTTTTACTTCCTTCTACGAAGTAAAAAGTAAGTATTGTAATCGCGAAAAGTTTCAAGCAGCATATTTCAACAAAAATATCCATTTTGACCGCTATCGAATGCAATTTATTTAACGATGTTTTTTTGCGTGATATCTGTACGTAAGGGACAGAATAAAATTCTCTTTTTCCTTCAAAAAAATTATAAAACTGCTTTAAAATGAATTCTGAAGAGAATTTTTCGTGGCGTCTGTCGAACATATGTACGTACGTCCGTATCTCGCATAACTCAAAAACGAGTAGCCTCAGAATGTTGAAATTTTGTATATAGGACTGCTGTAACATGTAGATGTGCACCTCGTATTTTGGTTGCAATCTGCCGCACCAAACGTATATAAATATATTTATATATACAGTCAAAAGTCGTTAATCCAGACTCGTTGGGACTTTGGAGATTCCGGATTATCGATTTTTCCGGATTATAGATCATCAGTTTAAATCTGGTAAGATGGCATGCAGAAATTATAAAATTAAAAATATGAAACCGTAATGTATGAAATAAAGAACAATTATGATCTAAAGGGTATCAAAATTTACAAAAAAAAAAAAAAAAAAAAAAAAAAAAAAAAGCTTAATATTTATTTGTTTACTTTATTAAACATTTCTTTCAATGTAAGTTGTTTAATTTGCTTCGTTTCATGTGATAATACTTTCTCTTTAATTCTATTAAACAGACATAATTTCTTGTTTAGTTACAAAGTTCCGCTGTTCAAGTCCTATTATTGCTCTGTCGAGAATACCGACTAATTTCTCAATCGAAATTTTTTGGGTTTCAATAACCTCTGTCACTTTCTTCACTATCGGAAGCGAATTATAATGACGAGGAATTTGATTTAAATCATATCAAAGATGGAGTACATCGAGATGAAATACTACATTTAATAAGGAATTATAAGCCAAATAAAATGAAAACATCTGCCCTGAAGATAAGGATAGTGCTGACAGATCAACTTCCAATTCATTGCGCGGCGCTGTGGCGTTAAAGATAAACAAAGTTTAGATAAACAAATGTTAAAGTTTAGATAAACAAAGGATATACCTTTATCAATTTTTTGTAGCAATTCCACTTTTTGTTTAATGAACTTCGAAACATACTTTCGCTTTGTAGATCATTTACATATTAATAAATATCAGAAATTCTATTTAACATAATCGAAAGTTCAAGCTTACTTTTATAAAATTGCTCTAACAGTCTGCAAAAAATAATAAGCCGGGTCCAATTCGAAGATTAAGGAACAACGCAATCTGCAACATTAACTGAAATAGATAATTAAATAATTTTAGATTAGCTTATACCGTCCGTTATACATTAAACGCGCACTCGTAAACGTATTTTGCGCACGCGCACAAGCATGTTATCAGCCGTAAAGGCCTTACACGCATGCGTCAACGAGACACATGCGCAGAAAGTTTGAAGCTTTGAGGTCCGGATTATAGATCATTCCGGATTATGGGTGTCCGAATTAACGACTTTTTACTGTATATCCTTTAAAAAATAAGATACAGTATATTAATTTGTTAAAAAAATAGAACTGCTTCTTAAAAAAAAATCATCTTTTAATTGTCATTTTTAGGCTGGTGTATCAAAATTGAATGAAGCTCGCTCACTTGTTGATAAACTAAATTCAGAAGCAATGGAACAAAGTGCTCTTCTTGAAGAAAAACAGGCGGAAGCTGATGAAGCACTAAGACTTATCACAACCAGTATGTCTGTAAGTGTTAGATAATGAACAACATCTTTTTCATTTTTTAATGTATTTTGTGAGATAATAGTAAGCATTATTGACACTGCTCATGTTACTGAAAATGCATGAGTGTGATTTTTCAAAATTGTTTATTTCACTATTACAGTTATGTTGTGCTCTCTTTTTCTCTCACCTGGAGGTTTTACATATAATCTTTTAAGCTGCAACCATACATTCCTTTTCATTATTCACCATCATAATAAAATTTTCATATTTACTTAAGAAGGCATTATTTTTCATTCACACACAGTCCTATTAGCCGAAGTTGTTATGAAATATTTTTCCTACACTGTATTCAATCTCCGTATGGTGGATATTCTTATGAACTTAGCAAGTTATCTATAAATAGCATAATATAACCAGCATTATAAGAAGTTTTAATGTTACAAAACTGCTAGATATACTATTGATCTTTCATTCTTCAGTAATGTAATCATATAACATAACTGCCAGCTCTCTCAGTTTTTCATCACCGAATATCCCGGTTTTCAGTTTTTAGCCTTTACTAAGGAAAATATTTTCCAGCAATAAATGAAATTTATTGAATTAATTAGCTTAAATTAGGCAAATTCCATTCTCCCACCTCTAAGGCTGCTATCACGCATCCGTTTGTTTTGGAAGAACAACTGTTTGGAACAATTTTTCTGCTTTGTCACAACAGCCAATCACCACAGATCACTTTGGGGTTAATACAGGGTAAAATGGTTCTCCATTACAAATTCACACTTATGCTCCTCGAACCACTCCAACACAATTCAAGCCTTGTGACATGGGGCGTTGTCTTGCTGGAAGATTCCATTTCCAGTTGGGAAGACAGATGCCATGAAAAGGGTGCAACTGATCTCAAGTTATGTTCAGATGTCTGCAGCTTTCATGGGCTGTTCGACCACAACTAAGGATCCTAGAGCCGCCTATGAGAACATCTGCCGAAGCACAACATTTCCAACATCAGCCTGTGTATCACCCTCTGTACAGGCGGGGAGCAACTATTCATCTGGAAGACTTTGTACCCTGATATGTCCATGGTTCAGTCTCGATGTTCTACTGTAAACGTAGATGACAATGACACATGGTCAACAGAGGCACACGAGTGGGATGTCTGCTGCACAGTTCCATGTCCAGCAGTGTCCCCTGAACTATATATTCCAAAACATTTGCACTTGGGCCTGAACTGTACTAGGCTGTCAGTTGAGCCACTGTCTGTCGCCGATTTTACTATACGAAGTGGGACAGTCTCCGATGTCCTTTTTTCACTGATGATGCGTGGCCGTCCAACATTTTTGTGTCTACTTCTGGTTTCACCATCATTTATCCACTTTGCATAAATACTAATAATGGCAGATCGTGAACAACCTACCAGTCATGCAGTTTCAGAGATGCTTGTTCCAAGTATTCAGGCCATTACAATCTGCCTTCTATTAAATTCACTTAGATGAGCAGTCTTTCCCATCACTCACAAAAAAGTAAGAGCAAGAATGATTCCTTACCTTCTCTAGCAGCAGTTAAATATTTCTACTTAATCACTTCCCCTTCACATCATCCAGACGAATTCATTGAAAAATATGGGGATGGTCATAATATTTTTGCTCATCAGTGTATATTAAAGAGTACTTAAAAAATTGGAAGAGTACTGCCTTGGAAGAGTACTTAAAAAATGTTATTAAAATCATATGCATCATAAATAAAATGTGTAAAATTATCCAGAAATTTTGATTCTTTAAAATTTAAGATCTTGTAAAAAGTTGAATAAATTTTTAAAAAATCGTAAAATGAACAAATTAATGTATCAGACATGTTTCATGTCTAAAGACTTATCACAGAGGCAGGTATGTTTTTTTTGGGAGTGAGTGGGCACATGACTGGTTTTAGTCTAAATTTTCACTGGTACATGGTCTTGTTCTACACACACTGGACAATGATTTAGAAACCTTTGAGATTTTCATTTGAATGCATGCAAGGGATGAAGTATGCAAATTTTTTTTGTGATGTGCGGATTACACATGGTTAGAATGCTTGCATAAGTAAGGTGTAAGAGTGCTTTTCACGATGAAGTAAAATGGGAAAAATTACAGATCTTTCGTCATTTGAAAAGGGCTTATTGTTAGTGCCCGTTTAACAGGGGCCTCGATTTCAAAGACAGAAAATCTCATTGGGTTCTCAAAATCAGCCATATCAAAGGTTTTCAAAATTTTTTTGAAAACCTTTGATATGGCTGATCGGAATCTTTGATACAGAATCTGAACCCACAGTCCTCCTCTAGAAGACGTAACTGTGGGTCGAGCACAGTTTTCCAACAGAGTGATCGGCATCGTCTCCGACGAATTGTACGACAAAACTGGGACTGTACTGTGCTTCAACTGACATGGGTTGTCAGCCAAAGCGCTTTCCAACAGATTTCAGCTCGAACCATGCAAAGAGAATAGAAATGCATGGTCAGGTGCCTGTGAGAAAACCACTTATTTCTGCCCGACAAGCAAAAATTCATTTGCAGTGGTGTCAGGAAAGTAGACACTGGACATTTGAGGATTGAAAACAGGTAATATGGTCAGATGACTGACGCTACACCTTATGCATTGATGCAAGATATCGAATTTGGCGAAACCCCCATAAAGCTATCTTGCCTTACTCGCACTGAGCAAGGGTCTGGTGGGAGTGTCATGATATGGGGCATGTTCTGTTGACATGGAATTGATGCCCTGGTGTTTCTGGAAGGGAAAAAAAAAGAGCCATGAGATACCTAAATATACTGGCAGATCAAGTGCACCCTGTAGTGTCGCATTTTTACACTGGTAGTGACGGATACTTCATAGCCAATAATGCAACTATACATAGTGCTAGTTCCTGAACATCAGTCTGATTTCCAACACCCTCCCTGGCCACCGCATAGCCATGATCTTAACCCCATTGAAACTGTGTGGGATATGGTGGAAAGACACATCCGAAAAAACTCTCCTTTTCCATCTAGTTTGCAAGATCTAAAAAGTTGCATAGCCAATGCATGGTATTCTCTGGACGTAAATTTCTACCAGAAGCATGTAGACTCGATGTCCAAATGAAGCAGAGCAGTTATGCAAAAGGTGGTCCAATAAAATATTGATCTTGGGTTTCTAATTCATTGGCCAGTGTGTGTATTAATATTGGAAAAATGGGTAGATTTAATTCATTTAAAAGAAAATGCACCAATTACAGCTCATGATAACCTACAATGTTGTTATTGCTGCAGATTGCCTTTTGATAAACCACTTTGTTAAATGAGTTTTTTTTAATGTGTCTTGTTTAATGAGACATTCTACTTATTAATTTACTATACCTTTTTTAATATATACTCGTAGAATACTGGAGAACAGAAAATTGAGTTGGAGAAATTGAAAACAAAGATAGAAGAAGAAAACATAAAATTATCTAAACGTAAGAAAGATATTGATTTAGAGTTGAAAGAAATAGAACCTATTGTTCAAGAAGGTAATTTTTAAATTTTATGTCTAAAATAAACATTCATTTGTAATAAATTATTTAAATGCATGTTAAATTTTTATAGTACTTTAGATTTATTAAGTATAAACCATTATATTCTTCCTGCACGTGATGAAGGTATAACATGAAACTAGTATGTTTTCTTTCCCATTTTTATGATAACTTCTATTAGGTGAAGTTGTTGTGGACAAAATAATTTTCTTCCATTTTAATAGCGTGCAAGATTTCAGTCTTAATTCCCTGAGTATATTTATTGTTTTTCTACCAATTATCATTTTATTTACCTATAGCTAAGTCTGCTGTTGGAAACATTAAATCAGAAGCTTTATCTGAAATACGATCCTTGCGAGCTCCTCCTGATGTAATTAGAGACATTCTTGAAGGAGTTTTACGTCTAATGGGTATTTTTGATACATCATGGGTTAGCATGAAAAGGTGACAGTAATTTTTGTTTTTCTATGTTAAAATGTATTATATGAGACATATTTATGTTTTATACATATATATATACAGTGGATGGACAAAAATATGGAAACACCTTGTGAAATGCATGTTTGAAAAGAAAGATTGATTTTAATGAAATATGTAGGTGGCGCTGGCGTTTTTGACTACTGACGCCACCTATACAACTTCGTAAATGTGCTAAACAGTTCAGTTGTTGTCGGAGTACTGTTATGTGAAGTTGTCATTGCATTATGTCAGAGTTAACAGACTTCGAACGTGGGCAGATTGTTGGAGCACGTATGGTAGGTGCTTCCGTAAGCAAGGTAGCCGAGGTGTTTAGTGTTTCAAGAGGTACTGTATCGAAGATTTATTCCGCATATTTGAAAAGTGGAAAAACATCATCTGCTAAATCACAGCGCGGACGAAAGTGTGTCCTGAGAGATCGTGACAGACGATCATTAAGGGCAATTGTGACGAAAAATAAGAAGACCACAGCTGCAAAAGTTACTGCTGAAATGAATGTTGTGTACCGAACCCCGTGAGTACCAAAACAATTAGAAGGGAGCTTCATAAACAGGGAATTTCTGGCCATGCTGCAATTGAGAAGCCACTCATCAGTGATGCTAATGCCCGTAACAGGAAAAGGTGGTGTTTAAGTCATAAAAGCCTGGACTATAGAGCAGTGGAAGCGAGTAATATGGTCTGACGAGTCTTCTTTCACATTGTTTCCCACTTCTGGCCGAGTTTACTTCTGGAGAACGCCATCTCAAGCCTATAATACAGACTGCTTGTTGCCAAGACTGAAACATGGCGGGGGTTCTGTTATGGTTTGGGCAGCCATATCGTATTCTCTGCTAGCCCCATGATAACTGTATCAGGGCACATGACTGCCAAGACTCATGTGAACATTTTGGCCGATCAAGTTAATCCCATGGTACAAACTTTGTTCCCCGATGGTGATGGTGTCTTCCAAGACGACAAAGCCCCTGTTCACACAGCTCACATTGTCCAGGACTGGTTTTCTGAGCACGAGGATGAGTTGTCCCATCTCCCCTGGCCACCACAGTCACCAGACCTGAATATTATCGAACCTTTGTGGTCTACATTGGAACGGAAAGTGCGTTCTCGTTATCCACCGCCAACATTGTTATCTGAACTTGCCACCATTTTGCAGGAAGAATGGTATAATATTCCCATGGCAAACATACAGGAACTGTATTTATCCATTCCGAGAAGACTGCAAGCTGTTTTGGATGCCAACGGGTTTCCTACACCATATTAAGCAAAGAAACATGTTTTTTTAAAGGTGTTTCCATATTTTCGTCCAACCCCTGTATATATATATACATATGCCTCTCTTCTTTTTTTTTTTTTTTTCCAGTTTTCTGTCAAAAAGAGGTGTCAAAGAAGAAATTTTAGCTTTTGATGCACGCAATATATCCCCGGAAATTAGAGAAAGTGTTGAAAAATTATTGAAAAAAAATGCAGAATCATTTGATTCAAAGGTTAGCATTATTTTATTCAAAGCATTTTATGGTCAATTTATCAAACCTCATAGTTTTCCAAAACCTGATCAGTATGTTTAAACTATGAATCCATCTTTGATAGAAAAAATGTTTAGAAGACTTGTCATGCAAATTCGTATGCTGTATAAGTATTGTTACAAATTTTGTACACAGATAGATAATTTTAGTGAAATCATATATGACATTGTTGTATTTTTCTATATAATTTAACATAAAAAGCTTGAGAGAGACGATGCTTTGCTGGAAAAATAACTGGAAAAGTCTATTTAACATAGGGTAAATGAGTATCTCGCTAAATTTTCGGGATATCGCCAGGCTGACAATATTTTTGGCTACTAATTTTCGTTGCCAAATTTGGTGAGAAATCCCCAAATGTTGCCAAACTTTATGACATTTGGGTCTGGTCCCTGTATAACTGTAACGGATATTGTAAATTGAATAACTGCAACTGATTAATGTATCAGCAGCAACCGTATCCGGCCTTCATACACCTTCCAGTAATTTTGAGAAGCAGAAAGCACTAGAGATTTCTCGGTGTCCTGGTAAAAACTGTATAAGAACAGAGAGAGCATCAATTTCACACTTGTTAGTTCAGAGCTGGTTCTATAAAGAGTTAAAAGAAAAGTACAGCCGATTAGGACTTTAAGATCAGAGAAAGGACAATAGAGGGATTTCAGGCATCACTAACAAGGTCAGACTGCTCCTATCAGTGATGCCTGGAGTCCCTTATGTCGAACACATACAACAATATAGGCTATGTCTTCAAGAAATGAAGCAAGACATCTGGATTTTTTGCAGCCAGTTGGTAGTTTAGGCTCACCTTTGAATTTACTCTGAACAGTGGCACGCGTTTCATCTTTTTAAAGCTGGATTTATTATTTTTATGTTTTTTTTTTTTTTTTTAAAGTTTTGAGTGTTTTTTTTTTTTTTTTTCTCTCTCTATTTTTAATATGCCTGCTTTCATTATTTCGCACCATATTTAGCGAGACACATTGACAGTTAGCACACTCATCCGCGGACACGGCCTTAGAACTGTCGAGTGTAATTACGTCAATTTGTAATTGTTGTCATTAAGGCAAGGCATAAGTTATTTTATATAGGGTAAAAGAAATTATGAGCGCACCTAGAGAAAAATTCTTGGGAGCAAAATATAGAAAAAGCGCCAAAGATAGGGTCAAACAGGCAAAATAAATTGCAGCTGAGATGAAAAAAATTGCTTCAGGGAAGAGATGAATCGTCAACTTCCGATGCGTCATTGGAAGTTTCATCAACCTTCCGCAACTGCCGATGATGCTGAGATTCTACAAGATATTAATAGTATTTCTTGCAATCTGAATAACCAAGATAAAGAATCTTTATATATTATCCCTAAACAGTCTACAAGTATTTGAGAGAACAGCCGTCTCCATCGACCTCAAGCGAACAGGAGGATCTTGAAAGATAGTTCTCTTAATGCGAAATTAAAGTACGAGGCAGGAAATCTGCTACATGCTATGAAAAATTTTGAATTTACTATCAGCCTGACAATTTGAACTAATATATTCTTCCAGAACTCTATAAGGTATTTCTCCCGCCTTTTTAGCATGCCTTCGTGATATGGTGGTCTGCATGCTAGGCGCGTATTCCAGAGGTCCGTGATTCGATTCCTGGTGAAGGCGTTGCTCATTTTCCATATCTCCTGCTTCCAAATAACCTACTGTCTCTACAGTGGCACCCGAACTAAAAAAAGGGTATTGGATGATGATTCTCCACGCCAAGGATTTGGCGATTGGGTCCCCTAAAAAAAAACCTCAGTCTCCCTTTAAAAGGGGGAGTATATAAGGTATTTCTCCCGCCTTCTAAGCATGTCTTCGGGGTGTGGTGGTCTGCACGCTGAGCGCGTATTCCAGAGGTGCGTGGTTCGATTCCCGGCGAAGGCTTTGCTCATTTTTCATATGCCCGGCTTCCAAATAACCTAATATCTCAACAACTCAGTCGAATAAATACTGACATTCGAGAGAAAGATATTATTCTTGCACGTTCCGGCGTACTAATGGAAAGTCTGGTCAAAACCTTTGCAAAAAAAAAAAAAAAAAGGACAGAAAATACTATGGAGTATTGGATGAAGGGGTCTAAAGCAGTAGCCGAAAAAACTGAAATTGAGCCTATTCTGAGAAATAACAAATTCTAAAATACAAAAGCAGTTTGATGAATTGTGCAAGAACGAATAACGAACGCTTAAACATGCTCAGTTATTTTCTGAGGCAATAAAGATTGCATTTGATCGAATCTTATCAGAAATTAAAACGATATGAGCCAATTTCTCTTAAAAATCCTCCTCAGAGCATACCTGCCTTTATGTTTAGTGCCTAATGGTTGAAACCGTAATACATAAATAAATAAATAGCCTCATAGTAGTTAAGATCGCTGAACACTGGTAGTTCAGCCTGGCTGGGTTTAAAACCCAGGCGAGAGTTTTGAGGGTTTTCCCCACGTATACGTGAATATGAACCAGTTCCCTTAAAATGTTCTCCATGAAGGCATCTCTCTAGACAGATATCCCTCATTGCTTTGTCATATTCAAATAATGTATCCTAAACTAACCTGTTTGCAATTAATTAAGGAGTGGTGAGGATCTTATGGAGTGGTTGATCCCCCTAGAGCGGAAAAACGAATATTGGCAAGGACTGCAGGATTAGAAATACTCGTGTCTGAATCCGAAGGTAAGCTCATTGGAGAGGCACCCAGGTTTTTTATTATGTAACTTTTTGTATACATCTTTGCTTTTTAACAAAAAAGGCTGAAAAAGAATTTCTTGCATAAAATTAATTTTACACTTTATCTCACACTCTCCTCTAATTCTATATTATTAAAAAGTTAACACTTCTTAAAGAAACTTGAAAGACAATGGGAGACAGCGGTAGTAGTTTTTCTGTTGGTCCCGCCTTGGAAAAAAACCAAGATCCCGCGCTGGTGTGAGCCATGATTCATTTCTCATGGACAAAGAATGTGTCCACATCTGAAGTTGACAGCCAAATTGTGGAAGTTTATGGTGAAGAAGCAATGAGCAGACACCATGTAGTGAAATAGTATCACTGTTTTCAATCGGGGAAAGAGATTTTGGAAAACCACAACAGGACAACGAGCAGCCTACCAAGTCCTTGCGACAAAAATCAACATAGTACGAGTTGAAGAAATGATTAAAAATGATAACGGGTAACTGTGTCTGCAATAGCGATAGATCTGGAACTGAGCTATTGTATTGTGCAGCGCGTCGTTTCTGATATGTTGCGATATTCGAACATTTGCGCCCTCTGCATATCATATGTGTTATTCAGGGTCAGTGCTGGTGCAACTGGTGCGACAGCTCGGGCAGCAGAATTTAGGAGCAGCGAAAATTTTAGAACAAAATAAAGCATCGAGCAACAAAGTTTTCAGAATTTAAGGCATATACTGATCAGCAGAATTTAGGTCTTGCAAAAATTGCACCAGGAGGTAAAATACCTAGAGCTAGCCCTTGTGTTATTCGAAGAGCACAAAGCCACACGAATGATGTGCACTGTAATATTGTAGCGAAAATTCCTCTTTTCGACCAAGCTCCTCATAACTTAGCGGTGAAGATGCAGGACTCGAAACCCGAAGGTCCCGGGTTCGAAATCCATCAACGACAAGGTGCCTGATAATTGGTTTTTATGTAAATTTCCTTCTTGTTAATGTTATTACTTCTTATTCTCTCAGAACATTTCAAGTCTGCAATGTTCTAGCATGTTCACCAGCTATATATAAGTAGTTCTTCATTCAGTTTGAGTGAAAAGTCTTGAGTTTAGACTTGAGTACTTGCCTGCTCATTTGTACAATCCCTTCATCTACGCGACAATATTTCTTCACCGTTATCATTCTGACAACCAGCACTTCATTGATCACATCCTTACTGGAAACAAAGGTTCGCTCGATAATTTCATTCCCACAACAAAAAAAACAGAAAAGAAAAAAAAAAAAAGAGAGAGAGAGAGACTGTGGAGTAGAAACACGCTCGATCACCTATGAAAAAGAAGTTTAAGATTATATCCTCTGCCGGTAAAATTATGGCCACGATATTCTGGGATTCATGTAGTGTTCTCCTGATCTGTAACGTGGCCATACTGTTACTGCCAATCATTACTGTGCCAAGGTTATGTAAATCCATCCAACACAAAAACCCTCGCATGTTCAATGATGGTGTCATTCTCCTGCATGACAATGCCAGGCCCCATGCTGCTCAACAGTTACTTCAAAAGTTCAAGTGGTAAGTGTAAACCCATTTCCCCCTACAGCCCAGGCAAAACTGAAGAAACACTTATCTAGAACAAGGTTGTCTTCACACAATGATGTGAAATTAGCTGCCGAGAACTGCTTCAATGTGTGGAGGTACAATAGACTGGGCTAAAGAAGTTGATTCAGATAAATGCTTAAATAGATATGGTGATGATATGGAAAAGTGGTTGGCAAGTAGGAAGGCACGCCTTTCAATTTCATTTTATATTTTCGGTTTATCATTAGTAGACAATTTTTATTACCTTTTTTTTTTTTTTTTTTTTTTTTTTCGGATTCATCCTCGTATTATAGAAACCATTTAGTATATTTTAAAGTTTCTGCAAACTGTTGTAAGAGATATTGAATAAAGTTCTTTTTTGTTCACAGTGAGTGTTTTGCATATATTTTCAGAATGCGAAAAGAGCTTCAGCCGCTGCTGCACCACTAGCATCCTGGGTAAAAGCAAATGTTATATATTCACGAGTTTTGGAAAAAATCAAGCCGTTAGAAAAGGAACAAGCAAAGCTTAAACAGTATGTGACCAGTTTTGATTACTGCAAAAGAAAAAAAAATGAATAATGATAATTAAGTAGTAATTATTTTCATTTTTTCGTACTATTGTTCATATTTTATGCAACAAAAATTAGTTTTTGTTGCGCAATCTTTTTATTTAAAATTTGTTATTTTATTGTTTTTTTTATTGTATAATATAATATAATATATTTTATTTGTATATATATATAATAATAATTTGTAATAATATAGTATAATAATAGTTTTTTTATTTATATTAGTATAATTTTTCATTGATAAATTGTTAAAAAATTGTAGATTTTATGAAAACCTTATAAAACTCTTGCAGCTGTAAAGTGTTAAAATAAATTCAAAATTAAAAGGTAATTGTAAAAATTATATTAATTCAACAAAAACTAATTAAATTTCACAGAGTATAGTCATTTATGGTAATTTTATGCTACTGAACACAAAACTTATTGTTGCATGGGTATTTGTGAACAAAATTTGCAGAATGCAGGCAGATTAAAAAAAGAAAACCATGTCCAACATTGTGCTGATGTCTTATATAAATTCTATGGGGATTTGTAAAATAAGCTGGAGGTAAATGGTTTCCCCGAGCAGACGTGTTTACAGATGAAGCTACTTTTCATGTTTCTGGTAAAGCTAATCACAATAATTTACGGTCTTGGGGCACAGAAAATCCAGATGGTGCAATGGAACATGAATATGATGCTCCAAAAGGTGAACATTTACTCTGCCATTTGCAGCAGTTGTGTTTCTGATCCCTTTTTCTTCGTGTAAAAATCAATTAATGGATACATTAACCAAGATAAGCAATCAAAGTGGTTGTTGCCTTAGTTGGAGGAAGCGATTCCAGGCTTCATTCTGCAGCAAAAAGGTGCTCCAGAATCGTTTTTGTGTATGAAATAACGCAATGAGCCTTTCAGACAAGAAAGTGGTTAGAGACTCTGACTGCCGTAACGAAGGGCCTGGGTTTGAATCCCAGAGAAGGCATAGATGTAAATTGTCTGTCCCTTCATAGGAGGCAATGGAGGCCCATCTATCAGGTGCCTACATAATGAAGTGCCTGCTTCTGGCCTTAGTATTGGCCAACGCCTTTAATAGCTAGTGCCTGCCATTAATAATAAAAATAAATTAAAATAAAAAAAGGGAATGAAGGTAGGAATATTTATGTCTATTTCTGTTACTATGAAAAGGCTTATTACTAATTTTAAATCTTTAAAAACCGAATTATCTAAATCTGAATCTCTAATGACTGGAAAATTTTACACTCCCCTCCTTTGCTGCGTTTACCTAAGTGCTTTCTTTTAAAATTTTATACTTTATGTATTTATTTAGCTATACATTTTCACAGCCATCTAAAAAAAAAAATCCAACAATTTTTTATGAGACTGCATCAAAGTTTGAATTCTTGTTTTCAGTAATTTGGCTGCAACAGAAAAGCGAATAACAAAACTCAGTTCTGCTCTTGTGGATGTAGAAGAAGAAGTATCTGTATTACGTGATAGGCTGAATAAATTTACTAAAGAAGCTGCTCAGATTGAAATTAATTTAAAAAAAGCTAATGAGACAATAGCTTCTGCTGAAACTTTAGTCAGCAAACTTGATGATGAATATCAAAGGTGGACACTACAGGTAAATTTTAGAATAAATATTTCACTTTCAAAGTAAAATAGACTTACCTTCACTTTATGAAAGATCTGTCTTTGTTTATTTTATAATTATTGTATAACTATTATATTATTGTTAATTCATGTAACTGAATGTCTTATTCAATTAAAGAAGTGCTTTTTATATATATTTATGTGCTTGTAAATGAATGTAAATGTTACTCGCAAGGGGTTTTAAATTTGTCAGCCTTTTCAACTACCAGTAATTCGGTAAAACTGCCAAATAAAACCGATTTACTGATATTTTCATCCCAAAAATTAGTTGCAAATATGAGAAATAATGCCAAAATTGGTAGTTCATTCAAAATTTGCCAGGCATTATAAGAAATGTTTGAAAATAAATTCTATTCTGAACGTAAAATATAAAAGTATGTAAGAATTATATAAAAAAATAATTTGTAATATGTTGACAAATTATTTATGTATCTATTTGCATAGGTTTTAGCCAAAAAAAAGTTGAAAAAATTCACTTATATGTATAGTTAAATATTTTCATTTATTCATTTCATTTATAAACAAATAAGCAAAAAATTAAGAAAATTGTCTGAACTGTCATCTCTCTCTCTCTCTTTTTTTTTTTTTTTTTTTTGGGGGGGGGGGGGGTACAAAGTAAGCTAAAACTGAGAAAACTCTCTCTTGGGTACTATATTTGTTCTTGCAGTCATCAGGAAATCATTTGCTATTTTAATAGATTTTCACTTTCATTATTCTTGCTGCAAATAAGCCAATTCTTTTGTGAAAACTTGTTTTATTTATTTATTTATGTATCAGTTTCCTCATGGTATGCAACAGTTCTGACCTTTATTAGGAACTGAAGTGTTTCCTTCATTGATAGCTTCATTGATATATTGATGTGGAACAAGAAAATTGTAGAAATTGATATCATGTGATTTTTTTATATTTCATTAGCATCTATTTTGTTCTTATGTATGAATTTAGTCCATTTTACAGCTTCTTCATAATTGTAGCTTTTCTCAATTTATTAAAAATTCTGTTACCTTTTTCATACCAATTTTTGAGATCAGTATTCAAAAAGATATCACATAACATCAAAATAAATATTTCATCTTTTTTTATATAATGTTTCAAAGCAGTATTAGCTCCGTTACTTAAAACTGTGAGTTCATTCTTTCCCACAGAAGTTAAAATGGAAAGCATTAAAAATAATGTTTCACTTTTCACTTCTGATGGAAAATTTTTGAATGATGCTTTCATTTATATATAAAGAAACAGGTTTTTTAAATACTTTTAGGAACCCAAAAATATAGCAAACTAACTAGGGTAATGCATATTTTACAAAATCTTTTGTAATCTTATCTTAGTTATAAAACATTTTATATATTTAATCAACTTATCATGAAAATGTAGTTTCTCACAGGGCAAAAATACTACAAATTATATATTATTTTCTGTGCATTAATTTTCACACTTTTATGTTTTTATAATAAAGCTAATTTTATTTTCTTTAAGTGAATGTTTAGCCAGTTTCCTTAAGAAATCTTCATAAAGACATCCCTCTCCTTAGGCATGTATTCCTTGTGTGCTTTGCCACATTCAAATAACCTAACTTAATTTATTTTTTAATATACAAATAGAGTAATGTATCAGTTCTAGTCATTTCCAAGAGAAGTCAAGCTTTAAAAAGAAACAGAACATTTCTAAACAGTATCTAAGTGCATAAGATCATAATCCGACATATTAAAAATATTGTAGAAAATACCTGATTAATATTTAATATTTTTCTTATTTCAAAAGAGTTGGTTTTATGACCAGAAAAATTTCAAGACTATTGAAAACGATATTTTTTTAACATTTAAATTTTAAAATAGTGGGCATTTAATGACCCAAAATATAAATAAAATTTGAAAAATTTTTTAAATCGTATATTTTATCAGATATTTAGAATAAACTTCATGTAGAATTTTATTTTCCAGTTTACTTGGTTAGAGCCATTTTAAGCTTCTAGCAGATCCTAGACAAAATTTAAATTGGGGCCACAGAATCTTAAATAATGTCACTTAAAATTTTTATTTTTAATAGAGAATATAAATGCTATACAATTATAATGGTATAATAAATTAGTTTTTTAGAAATTCACATAATGTGCAAGTATATACCTTATTTTATTTTAAGAAAGCCTGCATCTCTTCTGATTAGATTCTGCATTGAAAACTGCAGGAAAGAAATTTCGTAATGAAATGATAAACTCAACATAATTTTATTATGCTGATATCAAGCTAATTATATAGCTTCTATAAAAATATGGTTTGTTTTTCTTTATATTTTATTTCCGTAGATGATTATAATTCAATTTTTTTATTATTATTATTATTATTATTATTATTATTTCAGCTACAGGAAATTGATCAACAGTTAAATGAATTACCTCTGAAAGCCCTTCTAGCTGCTGCTTTCATTACTTATTTATGTGGAGAGCCTGAAGATAAGCGTTCCTCTGTTGTATTAACGTGGTGCAATGAATTTGGAGTGGATAAATTTTCTTTGGATCAAACATTGAGCACAGAACGTGAACAATTGATTTGGAGAAATGAAGGCTTGCCTTCAGATGCTCTGTCTATTGAAAATGCTATTTGTATTTTGCAGGTAAAATGTGTATTTTAATATACTGTTAACGTATGTACGGGCTTATAATGAATTGAATGCACACAGAACCGATGATAGCTTACATTTATTTTCCCAAAAGGAGAAACTTCACAGTTCTTGAACCTATCTCACACAGAAGTATTCATACAGCCTTCTTAGTCATTTAGAGCACAATTAGTAGTTACCACTTCCATATACTAAGAATGCTTAACAGAAGGCAATGCAAAACGAAAGCTTGCATGATGATCTCTCAATACTCTGAACTAAAACTGAAAGCTGTAAAATACTTTAGGTATTGGATCTTGGATGGCGTTCAGGCTTCTAAACTTATCAGCTTTTAACTGTAACTGGAGAAAGCTCTTGGCATTTGGCAGTAATTGAAAAATAAGCGCATAAGCACCACCGAAATCGGTGAAAACTCTGTACGAGCTGGGATGTGATTTAGTTTTGACTAAAGAACACCTATGTAAAGAAGGAAAGCTTCCATAGACGAAATGTAAAAAACCAGTTTGACTACTGCGCCGTTATATCGCCGAGGTACGAATTCTCGTTGCCAAATCGCCAGGTGTACAAGAAACAAAACTTTTCGCAATAACTTTAATTCGGAATTTCATAGAATTTGTTCTAGGCTGGATCTGCTTTGACACAGGTTCACCAGCTGTTTCATGCATACGCACAAAAGTATTAAGGCTGAGTGGATAGCCCTTGTAAAGTAAACTTATTAAAGTATCCCCCCCCTCTGCAGTCTGACCGAGCCCCCTTGCTTTGGTGAAGCTTTCGTTCTTAACATACATATTCTTTGGTCTTGACTGACAGAAATGAAAATTACGGTATCCTGGCAGCATCTAGTGGCATGAATTAGTATGAAAAGCATAAAATGGAGGAAAAAGTTTAATTTTTCAAATTTCACAATAATGGGGCATAGGAAAAAATACATAATGTGAAGTCATGAATATTACTAATCTTGAACTTCAAGTTGAAAGAAGTAAACAATAGAGAAAGCACAAAATGCAATGAAAATGATCAATATGCTATTCAAGAATACAAAATGCTAATACATTATCTATGACCCCAATTATTAACTAATATGTCACATTGTGGTGAAATATTCATGGTCTTTTGAATGCATGTTATACCATAGGATCATAGTCTGCAAGTTTAACAATGTGGTCATAGGTTGAAGACATGCTTTCCTGAAAACATTATGCAAGCTGGAAAGAATAAAATCTTGTGCATGCTGCATTTTCAGATTTCATGTAATTTCTGGTTCCTTTCTGATAAAACCATGGTGCATTTGTGATGGTTCTTAAAACCTTATTCTAAATACCACTAGTTTTTGGCGTGAAATATAAAATATTTTTGACACGAAGGTCTAATTTGGATTATTTCCCAACGAAATAGCCATAAAGGTTGCATTAGCCTTGTTTAGTACATAGATCACCTGTTCTTTAATTTTTTTTTAAAATTCAGTTGTGTATTTAATATGATGCCTAAATATTTAGTTGAATTTACTATTGGGGTAATTAATTATTCATTCGTATAATTAGGATAAACGCAAGGTTTTTCTTATAGCATCTAAATAAAATGACAGCATTTGCTTGCATTTAGTTTGATTTTTCATAGTTCGCACCAGTGTGCTACAGTATTATGGCTGAATGGTAGGTTATCAATGGCGTGTTGCAGCCTAATTGATTTCGTCATCAGGATAGTATCATCAGCAGTTTAGTGGTTCTGGCATATCGTTTACAAATATGTAAGACATCATGGTTCTGGTATATAGTTTATAAATGTGTTAAACAAGGTCGGCGCTTAAACCGAACCTTGAGGTACGACCACATAAGTGAATTTCTTGTTTGAGAGTTACCACCTCTTGAAAGTTCTACTTTTCAGATAATACTTCAGTAATTTGAGCATCCTGAGAGGCAATGTGATTGCTACAAGTTTATAAATCAGTCGTTGATGCTAAATTTTATCAAATGCCTTTTCCATTGTAAGGATCCTAAGTTTTACTAACGTTTATTTTATTTTAAATCTTTACTATCACTTCTTATTTTCTACTTCCGGCCAGAATTAAAAGCTTTAACTTATTTATGCAAATTTGTCTTGCTAACGCCAAGTACTTAAGTTGTGGCTTTTTGCCAAGCAAGAGAGAGGAAGGAGCTATTAGAAGCAGGCCGCTTGCCATAGCAGTTTTACTCGGTTGCTGGTTGCCTTCAAGGCCAGAGGTTTAATCCTCTTGATAATTTTAAACATATCGTAGTGTTAGCAGTTCTCTGTATTACATACGGCTTTTTGTTAATATAGGCCAATCTTGGAGTTAGGCACTTGTTTGATTAATCCAAAGTTAGTTTAATTAGAGTTTAGTTAATATTTTTATATTCTTACGTTCAGACCACAAGTGGTTGGTCTCTGTATTCCGAAGTCCGGAAATCATTGTAAAGAGAGAAAAATAAAGGGTTTCATATACCCTTCCTGTGTGTATTGTCTACTTCCCAAATTTATTGAACATAGCTTCTGTTCCGAGTCAGAACTCCCTGTTCCGAGTCAGGACATTTAATGTTCCCAAAGCAAGTAAGAAGGAACACAGAACCTGATACCATATCTAGAAAACAGATAGCCACACATTGTTTTTTGGTAATGCTTCACTAATGTTCTCTACAACATTTAAGATATTTGTGGTTGTATTTAGGCCTTGGCTAAAACCAAATTGATTGTTTTTGATTATGTTATTTTTGATGAGGTGATTATTTAAACTTTGCTGAATTATCATCTCAAAGATTTTCTTATAGGTCTATAATTTGTGGGTAGACATGGATTTTTACCAGATTTTAAAAAGGTGATAATGAGAGCGTGCTTCCATTGTTGTAGAAAGTAATAAAGGCTAAGACACGCTTAATTATGGTGGTAACAAGGATAGCAACTTTTTTGGAAGCTTCCTTAATGGTTTTAGTCGGGATGTTGTTATATCCTAGCGAAACTGAAAACTACCTATCTATCCGAATGTCGGGCGTAGCGCGACATGTCGACCTCTTTAAAGTAATGTTATTAAAGCACACCAGATAAGAAGTTCTTCAAGAAAGTTTCCAACGGGAACTCTAATTTTGATATGGAAAAGAAGGAGCCCAGTACATCACAGGCATGAGGAAAGTCCATTTGAGTCATCATTTAAAAAGGGAAATACTTGACAGTTGGGTGGCTGCATCTACTGCACACCAGAGTCTTTACAAAGAAAGTTTTAGAAAATAATCATTTGAAGTTAACAAAAGATTAAAATTCTGCTTTGATCATCATTTCCACCATGCTGAGGCAAGTAAGATTTTTTCTTGTGAACACTGATTTTCTTACACTTCTCCGCAAATTCAATGAATTTACTCTTTACTTCGTACAAGGAAGTAAATAACAGTAACTTTTAAACTTTCAATACTGTAGATGATTTTTGTTACATTTTCAGTGTTAATTTTAATCTAAATCAGGGGTTCCCAACCCTATGCCTCCGGGCACCATGGCGCCCGCTGATCGTTTAATGTGTGCCTGCCTCTGTGCGATCACAAGGAAAATGTTTCAGTTTTCAATAAAATTCTATGTGAAAGTTTTCTCATTTTTAATGAAACAGAAATTGTGTCCAACACAGATACCAGCACAAAGCGAAATGTGACCGATTTCTTTTTATGGGCATATATTATTAACTCTATGCAACTATAAATTCACATTGAAAAGTAAATGGTGCCTGCTGTTCAACAAATATTCTAGAATGTGTTGTTAGGGACAAAACGTTGGGGACTCCTGATCTATATATAAAGCTTATTATATAGAATACCTTAAATTTAATGGTTTTGTGAAACCCCATGGAGAAAAGCAATAATATTTTATCTGTTTGGAGGGATAAAAGAAAATAACTGTTGTATAAACATAGTTTTCCCTGTAAATTAATGATTATATGTACTGTGTTTTGGATTTACACTCATTGCCATAAAAATTTGCACACCAAGAAATAATTATGGGATCGTAACGAAACTTGGCATGAGGTACATGTCGGGTAAATACGCAAATGATTAGAAATGCAGCGTGATTACGCAATGTCACTAGAAGGCATTAAACTTCGTTATTCTCGGAGTATAAAACAGGTAAGCAGAGCTTGTTTGAGTGTACTGTAAGGAAACCCTGAGGTAGACATGCCGTTACGCCGCCATCAAAGCCAATATCAGCAGCTGGCAGAGTTTAAGAGAAGAAGAATCATCGGGATGATGGAAGCTTGGGTGGTCAGCTCGACGAGTAGCTTGTCAGGTAGGCCGTTCTGACTTTACTGTGAGGAGGTGTTGGAACAGAAAAAAAAACAGAAAAGACGTCATTTACATGGTGATCAGGCTCAGGACGCCCTCGACAGACCAGTCGTTGATAAGACTGTAAGGATCCTGTTTTACTAACGTTTATTTTATTTTAAATCTTTACTACTTATTTTCTACTTCCGGCCAGAATTAAAAGCTTTAACTTATTTATGCAAATTTGTCTTGCGAACGCCAAGTACTTAAGTTGTGGCTTTTTGCCAAGCAAGAGAAAGGAAGGAGCTATTAGAAGCAGGCCGTTTGCCATAGTAGTTTTACTCGGTTGCTGGTTGCCTTCAAGGCCAGAGGTTTAATCCTCTTGGTAATTTTAAACGTATTGTAGTGTTAGCAGTTCTCTGTACTCCATACGGCTTTTTGCTAATATACGGCCAATCTTCAAGTAGGCACTTGTTTATTAATCCAAAGTTAGTTTAGTTAATATTTTTATATTCTTACGTTCAGACCACAAGTGGTTGGTCTCTGTATTCCGAAGTCCGGAAATCATTGTAAAGAGAGAAAAATAAAGGGTTTCGTATACCCTTTCTGTGTGTATTGTCTGCTTCCCAAATTTATTGAACATAGCTTTAGTAAGCTCCCTGTTCCGAGTCAGGACGTTAAATGTTCCCTAAGCAAGTAAGGAGGAACACAGAACCTGATAAGACCGTCACATCATACAACATGTATGCGTTGAGCCAACTGCCTCATTGGCCGCTATCCAGACACAGGCAGCAGCTTCATTACCGGCTCTTGTGTCTTCCCAAACCATCGCAAGACGCCTGGTTGAAGGTCATCTGGTATCGCAGCGCCCACTACGTGTGCTGCCAATGACACCCACCCACCGACGCCTCCGTTTGGAGTGGTGTCGCGCACGACAGGATTGGACTTTAACGGAGTGGAACCAGGTCGTCTCCAGCGACAAATCCAGATTCAGTTTGACCAGTGATACAATCGTGTTCGTGTGTGGAGGATCAGTGGTGAACGCCTCAATCCTGCCTTCGCTTTACAGCAACACATCGTTCCCACAGTTGATGTGATGTATGGGTTGCCATTGCTTACGATACACTGTCACACCTAATATTGATCCATGGCACAATGGCTGACCAGCGGCCAAGCGGTAAAGTCGCTGAACACTGGTAGTTCGGTCCGAGGTTCGAATCCCGCGAACGGGCTGGCTGCATGGGTGTTTTCGTGGTTTTCCCCATGTGTAACGTGTATACGAGCCAGTTTCCCTTAGAAAGTCCTCCACGAAGGCATCCTTACCCTTAGGCAGATAGCCCTAGTGTGCTTTGCCATAATTAAATACACCAACACCAACACCATGGCACAATGGCAGACCAGCGGTACGCTCATGACATTTTTCAGCCACATGTGCTGCCACTCATGGCAGGGGTCCCAAGAGCCTGTTTTCAACAAGACAATGCTTGGCCACACACAGCGCAGATCTCACAAGATTCCCTCCGTCACATTAACACCCTCACCTGGCCTGCTTGATTTGTCACCAATCGAGCATATTTGGGATCATTTGGGACGGCAAGTTGGACAGCCTACAATATTGGCCGAACTAAAGGCGCGTTTACAGCAACTGTGAAACAAGATGTCTCAGGACACCATACGGAACTTGTATGCCTCAATGCCCGCTCGTATCGCTTCATGCAGAGGCTAGAGGCGGTCCAACAGAGTACTAAAACTTCCGTTCATGTGTACATTTTTTCTCCAATAAATAATACTTTTTTCTTTGATTTTCTAATCACGTATATCAAAGTAAATACTTACATACATAAAATTTCGTTTCATTCTGACAACTTTTTCTTAGTGCGCAAATTTTTATGGCAATGAGTGTATATATATATTTATGATACAGTCAAAAGTCGTTAATCCGGACTCGTCGGGACTTCGGCGATTCCGGATTATCGATTTTTCCGGATTATAGATCATCAGTTTAAATCTGGTAAAATGGCATGCAGAAATTACAAAATTAAAAATATGAAACCGTAATTTATGAAATAAAGAAGAATTATGATCTAAAGGGTATCAAAATTTACAAAAAGAAAAAGCTTAATATTTATTTGTTTACTTTATTAAACATTTCTTTCAATGTAAGTTTTTTAAGTTGCTTCGTTTTTTATGTGATAATACATTCTCTTTAATTCTATAAACAGACATAATTTCTTGTTCAGTAAGAAAGTTCCGCTGTTCAAGTCCTATAATTGCTGTGTCGAGAATACAGACTAATTTGTCAATCGAAATTTTTTTCGTTTTCAATAACCTCTGTCATTTTCTTGACTATCAGAAGCGAATTATAATGACGAGAATTTGATTTAAATCATATCAAAGACGGAGTACATCGAAATGAAATACTACATTTAGTAAGGAATTATAAGCCAAATAAAATAAAAACATCTGCCCTGAAGATAAGGATAGTGCTGACAGATCAACTTCCAATTAATTCATTGCGCGCCGCGGTGTTCCCCCCGCCGAGCAGCGTTAAATTGACAAACAGATTTCGGATTTCGAAACATACTTTCGGTTTAGATCCTTTACATATTAACAAATATACTATATCGGAAATTCTATTTGATATAATCGGAAATTCTATTTGATCTATTTGATATAAAGTTTAAGCTTACTTTTATAAAATTGCTCTAACAGTCTGCAAAAAATAATAAGCCAGATCCAATTCGAAGACTAAGGAACAACGCAATCTGCAACATTAACTGAATTAGATAATTTTAGATTAGCTTACACCGTCCGTTATACATTAAACGCGCATTCGTAAACGGTTTATGAGCATGCGCACAAGCATATTCGCAGCCGTAAAGGTCTTACGCGCGCACGTAAACGCCTATGCGCATGCGTCAACGCGACGCAAGTTTGTAGCTTTGAGGTCCGGATTATAGATCATTCCGGATTATGTGTGTCCGAGTGAACGACTTTTGACTGTATATACTGTCAATATATAATAAAGGGTATACGAAACCCTTTATTTTTCTCTCTTTACAATGATTTCCGGACTTCGGAATACAGAGACCAACCACTTGTGGTCTGAACGTAAGAATATAAAAATATTAACTAAACTAACTTTGGATTAATAAACAAGTGCCTACTTGAAGATTGGCCGTATATTAGCAAAAAGCCGTATGGAGTACAGAGAACTGCTAACACTACAATACGTTTAAAATACCAAGAGGATTAAACCTCTGGCCTTGAAGGCAACCAGCAACCGAGTAAAAACTACTATGCCAAGCGGCCTGCTTCTAATAGCGCCTTCCTCTCTCTCTTGCTTGGCAAAAAGCCACAGCTTAAGTACTTGGCGTTCGCAAGACAAATTTGCATAAATAAGTAAAGCTTTTAATTGGCCGGAAGTAGAAAATAAGTAGTAAAGATTTAAAATAAAATAAACGTTAGTAAAACAGGATCCTTACAGTCTTATCAACGACTGGTCTGTCGAGGGCGTCCTGAGCCTGATCACCATGTAAATGACGTCTTTTCTGTTTGTTTTTGTTCCAACCTCCTCACAGTAAAGTCAGAACGGCCTACCTGACAGCTACTCGTCGAGCTGACCACCCAGCTTCCATCATCCCGATGATCTTTTCTCTTAAACTTGCCAGCTGCTGATATTGGCTTTGATGGCGGCGTAACGGCATGTCTACCTCAGGGTTTCCTTACAGTACACTCAAACAAGCTCTGCTTACCTGTTTTATACTCCGAGAATAACGAAGTTTAATGCCTTCTAGTGACATTGCGTAATCACGCTGCATTTCTAATCATTTGCGTATTTACCCGACATGTACCTTCATGCCAAGTTTCGTTACGATCCCATAATTATTTCTTGGTGTGCAAATTTTTTACTGTATGTATATACTGTATATACTGTCAATTGCACTGCGCTTTTATTTTCAAAGTTGTAAATAACATTTTAAACAACATGTATTATTAGCAGTGTTATGTATTCCTTTTCACAAACATTTATTTCCTCTCCAGATGACATAGTTGCTATTTTGTATATTAATATTATCATTTTATTAATTACATTTTAAATGGCTAATACTTTATAATTGCCATTTGTAAAATTTATCAGTTTTTAAAGTTTAAATGAGCCTGAGCATAAGAAGCAAAAACGGCAAAGAAATTATATAAAACTTATGTATGCTTTATTTTTAAATAATAAATTATGTTGAAAGATTTGAGTCGATAAGTATTTGCTTAAATTTGTAAGACTCTTTCTTTTACAGAACATTCTTGTGCCTTTCTTAGTAGATCCTTCCGGCCAAGCCACAAATTGGCTTAAATCTAATATGACTAATTCTCAGCTAGAAGTTGTAAACCATCATGTAGGTAGTTCTCTATACTTATTTTGATTTTTTTTATCACTTTTAAATTTGTGCTAAATTTTTTTCATAGTGAAATTTTAGATATTTTTTTAAGTGAAATTTTAGATGTGACAATATTTCTTCACTCAGGATACTAATTTGTTGACATCCTTGGAAATGGCTGTGAGATTTGGTAAAACACTTCTAGTGCAAGATGTTGACAGTATACACCCTGTGTTATATCCATTATTGCGGCGTGATTTGATAAACCAAGGTAAGATTGAAGTATCTCTTGTTTAAAATTGAGGAAGGAGCAAAAGCATAGATTTTAAACGAAATTCTATTCAGTTCAAGAGAAATCAGTTATCAGTTCTTATTTCGAAGGGAGGAAAAATTGGCATATTTTAACATTGCTGCCAATATTGAAAGTAAATTAAACCAGCTGTTAAAAAATTAATAAAGGTATAACATCCGCTCATTTGTGCAGCTTATTGGTTATGTAATGAACTTGCTAATTTACGTATTTTCAGTTTGTCCGTTGACAGTTTTTATTCCTTATAATCAGTATATTCTATTATGTCCTTTTTTAATTATAACAACAACTCTTCAAATATTAAATATATGTTGGATTTTATTATGTATGATCATTTCTAATAATGAAATATGATAGCAAAGGGAAGTTTTAACAATATATTTATAATCTTATGTGCTAATATTACACTCATGTTCAAAATTATCTTTACATACCCAAAAATGATGATATTCAATGAAATATCGAATCAATGTGATCCGTATTTGCAGGGAATGTGTGAAAACCAAGCCTAATTAGCATTATCCAATCAAAAGTAATCAAACGGTTTGTGATATGCAAATCTAGGCGTTACGTCATCCAAGGGTGAATCAAGCGCTTTGCGCAAACTGAATGTTTGAGTGAATTTCTGCAACATAGCGTTTGATTTCAATGTATAGGGACTCAAAAGGTTTGTTATGGCTTCGAAGTATCATTTGGAAGAATCTGTAAAGTGGCGAATTATCGGCCGTTTAGAAGCAGGGCAGTCAATCATGGAAACAGCCACATGTCTGAATATTTCAAGACAGACAGTCTCTAAGCTATGGAAACAGTTTCAAAATGATGGAAGTGTTGTAAGGAGGCCTGGACAAGGTCGGAAACGAATGACAACTGCTTCTGAAGATCGGTATCTGACATTAACTGCCCGTCGTAACAGAAAGGCTACTGCTCGCTAGTTAAGTTCAGAGCTTGCAGCCGCCACTGGAACTGTTGCATCACGGCAAACAATATACAGAAGGCTTAATGAAAAAGGCTTTTATGCCAGAAAGCCAAGGGTATGTGTTTTACTGTCTTCACAGAAAAAGAGGGATCGCTTTAATTGGTGTAAAAAACATCAAAACCTGGACTGAACATCAATGGTCCCATGTTCTCTTTACTGATGAGTCGCGGTGTTTACATCTGGAGGGAGTCAGGAACACGAAATGATCCCTCGAACATTGTGGAACGTGACCGTTTCGGTAGTGGAGGTGTGATGGTATGGGGTAGAATAATGATCGATGGACGTACGCCCCTACACGTGTTCAGCAGCGGATCTGTGACAGGCCAGATATATCGAGATGAGGTCTTAGATGCTTATGTAAGACTTTTCAGGGGTGCATATGGACCTGACTTTTTATTTATGGATGATAATGCCCGTCCACATCGAGCAAACCTCGTTGATGAATTCCTTGAAAGTGAAGACATTAAGCGAATACCTTGGCCACCAAACTCTCCTGACCTCAACCCGATAGAGAACTTATGGGACTATCTTGGAAGAGCAATTGCACATATACATCCTCCTCCTAGAGGTGTAAATGCTCTGAAGACGGCATTGCTGGAAGAGTGGAGATTAATTCCCCAAACTGTGGGTAACAGCGTTATTTCCAGCCTTAAAACACGTTGTGATATGTGTGTACAAGTCAGGGGAGATCATATTCCATATTAAATTCGTAAGACTTAATTCTTTTTCTGAATCATTCCTTTTTTTCTTAACTCTCTTTGTCACACTTTATTACCATTTTTATTGTTTCATGCTACAATTTTATATCATATGAGGTGATCTTCAATTTTTTCTTTTGCATTTATGTGTCATCATGTTATGTATGATTCCACGAAAATTCATTAAATTATAAGTCATAGTCTCTGAGAAATCCGTGAATTTAGGCATGTAAACATAATTTTGGACATGAGTGGATTTTATTATGTATGATCATTTCTAATAATGAAATATGATAGCAAAGGGAAGTTTCAACAATATTTTATAATCTTATGTGCTAATATTATATTTAAATTATTTATAATCTATATATATTTATAATCTTATTCTAATTTATATAACATCTACTTAAACCAAAATAAAATAATAATAATATTAGGATGAATACGTTATTTTGTGACATGCACGTTTCATGTTTTGTGTAAGAATGAAAACAAGTATTGTAAATAAATTTCTTCAGAGTTTTCTGTGATACTAATTTTCAGGTCCCAGATATATAGTTCAGATTGGAGAGAAAACAGTGGATTATAATCCTCACTTCAAGCTGTTTCTCGTAACCAAATACTCAGAAATAGAACTGTCTCCGAATTTTTTTGCTGTTGTCTCAACTGTAAATTTCAGTACAACTAAAGCAGGACTTACTGGCCAGGTAAATTTTTAAAAATTTTTATTATATTTGCTTGTATAATAATCATGACTCAACTTTTAATTCTTCGGCAGTTGCGAGATTAAGCAATTATTTCTTCCCGAATACGCGTGATATCTCTGTCTTAAGCCTTTCTGGCACGCTACCTTTTAAAGTTGGAGTTTTGATTAAAAAAAAAAAAAAAAAGTAGGCAGTCTTAGAGAGGAGTACACAAGTAAAATTTTGTGAAGATAGCACTTATCTTTTAATTCTGTGGGTGTGCCCAAAATGGGCACGCTGATTGAATAGAGCTTCGAAAAGCGTGCTGAAACGAGCATTGTTGTCAACGAACTGACCGATGAGATACGGAGAAACAAAGAATACAGACTCTCAGTTGTCCTAGATTATCGGTGAGCCTGGTTTGGGCACACCTAGGGTTCGCTGTTTGATTTTATGCAAGATTTCAAGGTAAAAATTTAAAACTAATATAGAATAAGGAGATTAGCATACAGCCAAAAAACATAGAAATTTCTTTTCAAATAATCCCTTTTATGATCTAAAAAAAATCTGGAAGATTTCTTTGAAAGATGAGGGTCTTAAAAAAAAAAAACATGGCTAAAATATATGGATTGATTTGTGTTGAGCTGCTATCTACTATAAATAAAGAAGGTTCAGAGTAACCTATAAATCCTTTTTCATTCAATTTTTCTGTGCGTACAGAAGGAAATTTTTAGGTGTGTCCAGACCAGACACACTGTGCCGCAAAGGCTTAAATTTCTAATGCGAGCTGTTCATTTTACGCCCTTTGCAATGCATAACTGGAATGCGAGCTGAGCTTGATGATGATCTTCAAAAGGTTTAAGTCAGCTTTTACTTCTTTAGAAATGATTTATACTTTATTAAACTATAAATTTATTTCTTTAAAATGCCAAGAAAATCAGATACTTTTAACGCTTAAAACTGCTCTTAAGCACGCAAATAAAGAAAAGTTTACTTATGAACAATTAAAAATTTTCATTCCTACTTCAAATATAGAGTTTGTGGATATTTTTTGGTAGCATACACCCTGAACTCTATGTTCAAGTAGCGAATTCTTGCTATGTCTTTAAGAATAAATATTGCAGGAGAAAGGTTTAAATAACCTTTTTGTTTAAAATAAAATTAAAACAGATGCATGCACTTCCTGCTCACAAATCACCACCACTTGTGGCTACGTACAGAAAATAAGAATGTAACAAATCGCTAATAAATTAAGAATTCTAATGACTGGCTCCTTAGCTTAAACTAACTCTAAATCGGCTGCACACAGCAAAGCCGAACCGAGAAATATCAGTAGAAATTGAAAGGTGTCAACCACCGAACTAGAGAGCTAATTTTAAATTCGCAGCATAAACATCGGAACTAAGTCCGCTACTACTACTTTTGAACTCTTGAACCACAGCTTAAGTACTGCTTCTGAACACGCTGAGAATTTGCATCTACATTACACAAAATTTACCTTCCAACAGGAAACTGAAATCAGGAGGAACAGGAAAGTCAAACTTAAAATAATTGTTTAGAATAAATTAAATCCATACAAAGTTTTGATTAATGCTGAAATTTCTTTTGCTAGAAGTAACTTAAGCTACCGGAATAGTGTTGTTCAAGTGTTTGAAGTTATAATCTGCATCTATCAGTTCCTATTAATATTAAATTTGCTTTACGAATTATTTTTAATGGGTCTCTTGTACTTTTAAATAAAAATTTCTAGAATATAATCTGTTTCTGAATAAGCGTCTATTAATACTATATTTAAAGAAAGTTCGTACCATATTTATATGCATTTAAATTCAAATTGCAAAAGATGAAAATTTCGCTAACATAATAGTAACATTTAAGTTGTTAATAGACACACAAACCATCATGATAAATAATAAAGTTCAACCTCCTCTTGCCCCTCCTTTTTTTGTTGTTTATTGTAGTTACTTTTAGATTTTTATTACCTTTAATAGATGTGAAGTTTCTTTGATTTGTATAACCAGTTATTTTATGTTTTTACTCTGTGCTATCATTTCTCTCTTTCCATTTTCCCGCCAGAAGGCAAATGAGTTTGCGTGTATTTAAAGGGAGATTTTGAGATTGCTGAATCAGAGCAGGTTCTCCCACTCAGTGTTCTTGTTTTTGGCCTTATGGTACACTTGCCGATAGTTGAATTCATTCAGGTGAACTTCTGAGCCAACTTCGCGTTAAATTCTCTGTGTAGAGATAGATGGCTGTTGTTAGTTTATAGGTTGTGGTCTTCTTCATGAGTATATAATTAGACTAGACCACTAAAAGACAGCTATGACTTTTCACTGTGTCTAATTAATGCCACTGAGACAAGGAAAAGGTGTAAAAGACCCTTTTATTAATCCAAATAAAATTAAATAGACGACACCATTCGTGTTTACAGAAGCCAACACCTTTGGCTTAAAATCAAAGATAATGGATAAGTATAGCCTAACAGCTTCACAGTTTAACTAGCATGCAAACTAGTTATGACCAAAGTTGGTGGAAACAAGCCTGATGGCAAGAATGACTCAATGTCCCAGAATTTTAATTTTTAGAGGATCAAAGTTAGCAACGTGGTCTTCAAGCAGGCAGAACATGCTCTGATTTCATTCTCCAAAACCTTCTTTTAAATACTTCCTTCTTTTTAACTAATTTGGATATCGTACGCACTGGAAATTTATGTTCTGGCAGGGAAAGGAAACGAGGCTTGATAGAAAAAATAATTTAACTTCAAATAACGGGTCAGGAAATTAAAATGAACCTTATAAGTTTATTTTAAATTTAGCATTACATTTGATTTACTACTTTGAGTTTTCTCACCATAAGTGCTGGTGGAGTTGTAAACATCAGGAGTGCCTTCTGTTCATCTTACTTAGTTTAAAATAAAGGATCTTTTACACCTTTTACAAATTTCCATTCTTACTTTTAGACTTAGTGATAAGTCCTTTAATGTCTACATAGAGTTCAACACCTTGTATGTTAACAAAGAAAGTCAAACTCTACACAAGTACAGCTTTAAGAATTAAGAACTGAGTTGTTGTCATGAAACTCTGGTAGCTGTTTCTAATTTTTATTCACATGAAAAAATTATATATCTTGGTGTAGAGAATAGCCATGTAGCTTCTCGTTGAAAAATTTGTTCTTGTTAAAGTTAACTGAATTTTAAATTAACAATAGGAAATAAACTTGAGTAAGAAATATGTAATATAGTATTTAAAGTCTGCATGCAAAGTTTGTACAATAACTCCAATTCCAACCTAAAATCCTTATGGGAATAACCCACCAGCGGCCGAGCGGTAACATCGCTGAACACTGGTAGTTCGGTCCGAGGTTCGAATCCTGTGAACGGGCTGGCTGCATGGGTGTTTTCATGGTTTTCCCCATGTGTAACGTGTATCCGAGTCAGTTTCCCTCAAAAAGTCCTCCATGAAGGCATCCCTCCCTTAAGGAGTGCTTTGCCATAATCTAATTAACCCTTGAGTGCTTTGCCATAATCTAATAAACCAACCAAACTTTATGGGAATATTATAATAAATTATGAGCATCTTTTCTGAATGGAAACTGAAATAGCGGCAAAAAGTGTTATTTAAATGTTTCATATTTTATCTTTGATGGATACATAGCAAAATAAATGCACACTGTATTTATTTTCACAAATTTTTAATTTTATAATATTAATTATATAATTTTAAGTAAGAGTTAATGATACTGATGCTGTTTACATAGATATATCTATCATTTTATTTAATGAGAATAAATGTACTGAAAATATTATTTTGTTCCTGAGGATATTTATTTGTTTTATGTACAAATTTTTTATCAAATTCTTACTTCTCTAACTTATTTTTATTTTTTAAAGTTCTAAAATGTTCTATAAAACCGAATTATGGTTAGAGTTTCTTTAAATTTTATCTAAAGAATTAAATGGAAAAAACTGTGTGTTAATTCCAATATTGTACAGTGTTGAATTTTTAAACAAATATTTTTTAGCTTTTGGCCACTGTTCTTCAGCGAGAGAAACCTGAATTAGAATTAAGGCGTACAGAACTTTTACGTAAAGAAGAAGAAATGAAGCTTCAGATGACCCAATTAGAAGAGTCCTTACTTCAGGAACTGGCAACTGCTAGAGGAAATGTATTGGAAAATGAAGAACTGGTTGCTTCTCTTAATAAAACTAAAAGCAATAGCATTGAGATTTCAGCAGGACTGAAAGAATCTCATGATTTACAGTTATCCCTTGAAGAGGTAAAGTATTGCAGCAAGACAAATCCTAGCAGAAAGTTAAAGTAAAAATAATGCTTGTAAAACGGAAGCAGTCACATAAATATAAAATATCTTTGAGGGTTTTATGTGAGAAAAAATTATCTTAACTTGTTGGTCTTCATGGTGTATATTTTTAAGGAATGTAACAAAAAAGTTTCTAATACTTTAATGAATTAAAATACTTCTTCATTACGCTTTGTAACTAACTACTCTTTTTATTCTATCCTTCTTCTTAAATTTAGTTGCTTTTTCAAGCATGAGAGGAATTTTTAAAATATATAATAAAGGCAGTGAAAATTATTCTCCCATCATATGAACTTTTTGTCTTTATTGTGCATTACAATTAATGTTGGAATGATAAAATTATAATTACAATCCACTGTAATTACAAGAAGAGATCAAAAAGTACATAGAACAGAGTATAATCAATTAAGTATTTTTCCTAACATCTTTGTAGCAGGAGAAAATTCTTCAGTATATTCTAAGAACCAGTCATCAACAGCATTTATAGCATTATTATTAGATGTAAAATGCACCTCATGAAGTTCTGTCTTCAGGCTTTTATGCAAAAAAGATCACTTGAATCATGGTCTGACTAATGTAACGGTAACAGTTGGTTTCCTGAAGACATTATAGGAGCAATTGCTTTGGTATATGTACATGACATTATCATGGTGGTAAAGAATTCCATTCAATAACATTTCCCTTATCTGCTGTTAATTTCTTTGTATAATTTTTCAATTAACTTACTACGCTGTGATTGTGTTTCCACAGTGAAGGTTATTCATTGCCAGCTGCACTTTAGTATCCCAGAAAATGTTTGCCATAACTTTAGCTGATGATGTTCACATGACGCTTTATTGCTCATAGAAAAGCCATATTTCCAAGTAAAGCTCAACAGCAAAGCAGTGTTTCCATGTTTCATCCATGATTACATACCTATCGAAAAAGTCTTTAAATTCTTTTGAAATATTGTCAAAAGTTTTTCTGAAATCCTCACATAATGTTTATATATACATATATATAAACATTATGTGAGTATATATATATATATATTGTGCATTATTTAATAACTGCATTAAATTCAATAATAAGATCTTCCATCAGGTGAAACGAATTCCAATGGGAGCAAACAGTTCTACACAAATATGTAACCTATTTCTTTTTACTAATGAATATAAATTCCAATTAAGTTTGAATAAAAATGAGTTAAAGTTATTTGCAAATACATTAAGATACATTGATGATATTATAACTTTCAATAATAATTCTTCTTTTGAACAATTCAAAATTTACCCAAATATTTTAACACTTAACTAATGCAAATCAAGATAGTATTGAATACTTAGATCTGCTCATAACTGAACACAGCAAAATTAAATTATATGATGAAAGGAGGAATTTCCAGTTTTATACTATTAAACTAATTAATTGGAACTATAATATATCTAGAAAAGTAATAGGTAACACTTTTTACAGCCAAATAATTAGAATAAAAAATATATGTACTGAAACAGAAGATTTAAAGAAGAAATAATAAAGCTAATTAATGTTCAAGTTAATAACAAGGTCCCAACACAATTTATTAATTTCTATATTAAAAAGGCAGGCATTAACTTTTCTTTTTAATTTTTTGACTCTTTAAGGTATGATAACATTATAGAAAACTAGAGGGTAATGGAGGATTTTGAAGAGTTGATGGATTATATTTGTAAATATTAATTAATTAATTTGTAAAAATATATATTTAATTAATACTGGATTCTTTCCTTTTACTAATGAAGGGCCAACTCTTTTCAAAAGACTCTATTATAGCCCGAATTGAGTGAAGATTTTTATCTTTTTCTAATTTTCCTTACTTTTAGCTAGTAAAGTTTTGATTAAACTTGTAGAAATTCAGTTTTAATAAATTCAGATTATTACAAAAAAAATTACTTTACTTTAAAAGAAAATTTCAAAATTAAAATTAAATTAATTTTATTTCAAAAAAATTTTTCGAACTTTATTTCAAAAGCATTTTTTCAATTTTTTTACTATCCCTAGTAGTTTGCAACATATGTTTTTAAAACCCATAACAGTTAGCAATTTTTTACACATTTTTACAATGCTTCACAGTTAGAAACATTTTTGCACACAAAACACACATTTTACATTACTTAAGAGTTTACTGAATAGGTTTATACAATTGATCTCACAGGTAAACTCAACTTTACCTTATACACTGGTTATCATAAATTAAGGAAAAATCACAAAAATCACGATTACTGAAAAAGTTACATGTAGAATTTAATGAAACTTACCGACAATATACAACACATAGTAAGGTATCAAATAACATAAAAAGAAATTACCAGACAAATATGGTAGTATAGAAATTAGCACATGTATAAAATGAACAAATCGAATGTGTCAGTTTGCTATAGGAAAAGTACCTTCAATATGGAATATGATCACCTCTAGAAGCAATACAGCACATACAGCGATGCGTGATGCTTTCAATTATGCGGTCTTATCAGTTCCATAGGAAGCGAGAGCCATCGCTCTTGCAAAGCAGTTGCAAGCATGACAAGGGTCTAAGGGGGCGGATTGAGAGCAGCTAGACGTCTCCCTAAAGCATCCCAAACGTGATCGATAGGATTCAAGTCCGGGGATCAAGCTGGCCACTCCATGCGCATAATTGTTTCGTGTTAAAGATAATCATATACGCTGAGAGCCCAGCGTGGTCTTGCATTGTTATCCTGTAACAGGAAAGCATCACCTATTGCCCCGGCATATGGGCGCACATAAGCATCAAGGATGTCATCTCTATAAACATGAGCATTCACGGTTCTCCTTGGAAAAACATGGAGGTCTATGCGTCCACCCAAAGAGATGTTACCACAGACACTGACCCTTCCGTATGCATCTTTTTCACGGATGATAACGGGTTCTAGGTTGTCGGTTCTCTCCGTATCAAATAACGCTTACTATCGCTTTCTAAAGTAAACATGGACTCATCCGTAAAGAGAACTGCCCTCCATTGATCAGGCGTTCAGTGGACATGTTGTCGTGCCCACTGAAAACGGTCCTTCCTATGGCGTGACGTGAGCGGCACACAAATGGCTGCCGCCTCGCATACAGACCACCTTCGTGAAGCCTTTTATGCACAGTTGACGTTGACACGAACCTTCCGATGGCTGCAGCAAGGATGGATCTAAGAAGAGTCGGAGTAGTGGTTCTATTTCTACGTGCACATAATGTCAAATATCGGTCATCGTCGTAACAGTTGGCCGTCCTTGGCTGAACCTCCTAGATGCCGAATCTGTGGTTTGAAATTGCCTCTAAAGTCTATGAACCACAGAAGGACTCATACTTAGCCATGTGGCCACTTCTGTTTGACTTTAAAGTCTTGCCTCTAGTCTCCCAGTGGTTCTCCATCGCAGTTCTGCAGGCAAATGATGCCTGGAGGTCATTGTTATGAATTGGCTGTCTCAGATTTCTGATGTCACTGTCACAGTGAAATATGTCGGCTTGCTCTCAAACATGGACTTTTATGCGTCTCGCAGATGACGTATTCCGAAAGCAGTGCCACTAATTTGCATATCGCAGTTTTACTCAGCTACTCTTACTTGGAAACATATTCAAATTTTACACGGTTCGGCTTATTTTTGAGGGAATTATCGCTATTTTTGTGATTTTTCCTTAATTTATGATAACCAGTGTATTAGCGCCCTCTATTTATACAGTTAGCAGAAACATACTGCTCAACCTCACTTAGTTTAACAAATGCTATTTCACTCTCCAAAATACAAATTTATAGAAGGAAAGTTAAATTAAAATTTACTATTTACTAGCCTTTTTAGTATTATTTATGTATTTTTATAGATTGTATATAGTTTATTTTTAATTTACCTGCATAATTCGTGTCAGGGAAGTTTTCAAATAGGCATCAAAGGTTTCTAAATTACTTTGGTTGTCTACTCTTTTTACATTGGCAATTTACATTTAATTATTTTGATTCTTAGTCAATTTGCTTTCTAAATTTCTCAAAATTCATTTTGTTTAAATTTTTTAGTAATTCACTACATTTGATTTACTTTTGGTTTTGAATATTACAATACCCATGCCTATATGTATGACGAAACGCAAATTGAGTAATAGGAGAGTTAGGTTTGGAGGCACTTTCCCCTTGATAAGATCTGTCTCTTGCCTGCTCAACAATTATTCACTACTGCAAATTAATTTATTCTTAGAATGTTTTTAAAAATTTTTAGGATTAATTTTTTGGAATATTATATATTTTTTCATGGTTTTAGATACTTGTACTTAATTTCCATATACTCTCAGAATTTAGATGATATTGTAAATTAGTTTGCAGCAATAATTAATCATTTATTTGTATACAATTAAAATTTCATAATTTAAAATTTTAAATTTGTAGGGTTTATATTTATTTTAACTAACATTTATTTTAAGTTTAAACTATCTTTCCTGTCAAGCCTTACTTTCCCCTGGAACTGCCAATGCCAGAATATGTAAATTTTAGTAGAACGCGCAAGCATTCAAATTATCAGCGGAAGTAGTATGATTTAAATAGAAGGAAACGAGTTCGGTGAGAGAGTTATTCTTACTTAGCGAGCGCGGTGGTAGAATCGAGAATTGAAGAACCCCGCGTTGCGGCCTATGTGCTTGGCGGGAAGTAGTTGCAATTGTTCCAGTGAGCTTCAAGTCTGCTGAATTAGCTGCGGTATTTGTAAAACGCGGTGAGTTAGTTATTTTAGAGAGCCTCGTAGTTAGAATATTGTCTTTACTTTCTTTTCAGGTTCTTATTTTTATTTGACTGCCTAGTGGGCACAGTCTGTAAGCGTCAAGAGGACGCCATTGTAATTTATTACGTTGAATAAAAAGGGACTTAAACCCTTTATAAGACTCTGTGGTATATACAAGCTTTCACAGTCACCTCTTGGTTGCGTGCTAGTTAGAGGCACGCAACGTTATATTGG